TCTGAATGCCAGGCGCGCGCTCTTGTTCAATTGATATGATGGTGATCAATTCAGTGGGTTTGTTACAGTTTACAGTAAACATCCCCTACCTGGAGGACAACGTGTTTGGTTCTGGCTGGAGTTGATGATTGTTTGCTATTAAATGCACTGCAATCATAGAGATTTGGTGGAAAATAATCAGAAAAAACGGTGGAATGGACTTTATTTCATTTTCCAAACTGGAGTCTGGAAAAATGTAAAAGAGGATAAATGCCTGCAGCATTGCTAAATGCAGAGATGGACGGTGGTAAACACTGTTTGTATGAAGGCTTTGACATCATTACACACGCACACAAAAGCTCATAAATCGGCAAACCGCCAGAACCGCACACAAGACAAAAAGTTCTGGCAGAATCCAATCGACCGCTCTCTGCACTCTGGGAGGATTCAAACTCCGCTTGTTCATTTTCAGCGGACAGTAAAAAGCCGCCAAATTTACGAAAGTAAACTAACATTTAACATTTAAACTGTGTGCACCTCCACGGACTCACTACGTACAAGATGTTTTGACACAATATATTTTTTCTCCTAAATGTTAATAGTAAAGCGGATTAGATAATAATAATAATAATAATAATAATGAAAAAAAACATTCATACAACTATTTTTCGACCTGAGCAAAAATGATCTAATCTGGGCAAAGTGTGGGTGAGGATTTGGTCCGGACCCGTGAACGCCATTAGAGAGAAAACATGGTCACAGTTCTATATATGGTGACAAATATAGAAATCTCATTTAATTTTGAGGCAGGTCTGACTCTGAGCCGGTCAGACCTGGACCGAATCAGAGTCAGACCGGTTCATGATCCCAACCCGACCCGAAGCTGCCGCTGGGTGACAGTTCTGAAGTGGAGCTTTAGATTTGGTCCAGATCTCAGTGCTGTAGGTTTTATCTGTACCTCTGTCTGCATATAAACACAGAGAGATGTCAGTCACGGATTGTCAGAGTTGCGCAACCTGTGTGAATGTTTGGCGGAACCAGGGGACGGGCAGGGCAGGGCTGTAAAGTGGGGCGGGGGGAGGAGTAGGTAATTGCCCCCTTACAGTATTCTAGAAAACACACACTGAACAAGCACTGTGGCTGATTTCTACAGGTTACGCCATCCGGACACACAAAGTGGATCAAAGCAGAGCGTGAATGTACGGCCGGTGTCGTCTCCACCGGGAATTTCTCCTCGATGTGTGGCTGCTGTCTGGGCTGCCGTCCTGAGCCGTCCAGAGCAGGATCGGGGAATGTGATTGACTTGTGCCTTGACTCGCTCTGGCTTCCAGGAAGTCTCCTACATCAGTACACATCATCATCATCACTCGGCAGCCCAGCGTGCAACAGAGTGTTTCGCGTGTGCTCTCTCAACCAGTTCAGCACAGTGTGTCTCTCTGTTAAATCACATGGTTCAGCTTTTCCCCCGCATGCCTGCTGCTTGGCCTATTTCCATGGTAACTAGCCGAAGATGTGGGGACACGCTTACAACACATATGCATACACACACACATACACACACACACACGCACGCCTACGCAGTCCACATAAACAGCAGCTGTGAGACCTCGCCACTGCGATCTTGGTTGTGTGTGGCTGTAGGGTGCAGTCAGAGACAGGAAGTGTGATCACACACTCTGCACAGGCTCAGTGGGGAACACAGCCATACACACACACACACACACACACACACACGGCTGAGACAGAGGCTGAGGATGTGGCACTGTGGAGGAAAAATGGCACACAGGGGCATGCCAACCAAATCCCACCATAAACCTCACAAGACAGACAGATAGACAGACAGACAGATAGATAGATAGATAGATAGATAGATAGATAGTTGGAGTACCCGCAGCATCCCTGTGGCCTTTGGCCAAGATGATCAAGATGATGCTGTGGTGTTAATGCAGCCCAGCTATCAGACAAGGGAGCTTTGCCAAAAGCAGGGAAGCTGTAAAGTAAGGAAGTATGGAAAGAAGAGTGGTGGGGGGACTGCGGCTCTATTACTGCCCTGCGATGTCATGCAAATTCAGTCGTGTTCATGATTTTATCATCACACTAAAGTCCAGCGGCCTTAGCATGCTTGAATCGCCATAAGCTCCTCATTTGTTCCCTGTGCACGGATTAAAATGTGACATAACAGACAAAAGCATCCAAATTGAACTGCTGTCCATGGAGGCTGCTTTCAGATTAGAGAGTGTGAACTTCGGTTCTGAAGGTTCAGTGACATTCGGATGACTGAGCTTAAGATTTGACTAGGACTCGTAGTCTTGGCCTTGATTCTGGTTAACATCTTTATCTTATGTTATTAGGGCTGAAAGTACTGGGTCCAAGAAAAGAAAGATGTTTTCTCCAGTTTCCAAAAGCTACTGTAGTCACCCAACAGTTGTTCTTTTGTTGGTCCACTTTAGATTTTCTATTTAGAGCTGCTGTGGGAACTCGGTATGTTCCTGTTTGCTTGATGTTTGAGTCCTAACAGATTGGTTTTTGTGTCTTCCAGATAAAGTGAAAGAGGAGAAGAAACCACAGGGATCCCCACATGGGAGCAGCACTGCTGTCAGAGCCGCTTTTATCTGAGAGAATCTGCCAAATCATTCTTTGGAAACGCTCTCATGGCTTCAAACGCAGACTTATAAACCCACGGAGCTAAAAACAGAAAACCGACGCAATCACTGGCAAATATAAGAGGACCACTTCAAAAAAAGAAAAACACGGCAGGACAGTGGGAGGGTTGTATGGGGGCCAGATCCCTATCCAAGGCATCTTGCATCTCTTCAGTCCACAGACTTCCTTCCACCCCTCCTTCCGTTCCCTCCTGCTCTGCCTTTCTCCCATTCTCCATCTTTCTGTCTCATGGGCGTGACATAGAGGCTGTCGCTTGGTCTTCTGCCCCGCCCCTTTTCTGCATCCCTGTGCGAACGGGGACGTCCAGGTAGTGATGTCGTGGAAGAGGAACTACTTTGCCTCTGGTGGTGGAGCGGCTGGCGGGATGCCGGGGCTGGTGACCCCGAGAACCATGACCTCCATCGCGCCGAGCAAAGGTCTGAGCAACGAGCCGGGACAAAACAGCTGCTTCCTCAACAGTGCTCTGCAGGTCAGTTGGGTGAACTTACAACCGCAGACCAACTTTAATCTAAAAATAGAGGATAATTCTCAGGAATGAGCTGTGTTAGGGCCGCTTTAAGTCCAGATAATATCCTGCTGGCCACACAACATGTACACTCACATGTAAAAATGGCTGCAAACAGATGTGCATTTATGCAATAGTATATCTTTGAAAAGCAGAAGTAGCGCCTCCTGCACAACCAACAAGAATGCAGGAAGTGGTTTCTGGGTTGTGAGTCGGCAACAAAACATTATGCAGCAATAAAACCAGCTCACCAAATGCTTGTGTTGCTAGGTAACCAGACTGAGCTTGGCGGGGGTTGCTAGGTAATGGTGCAGACTTAACCTGTTTAATCCCAAATTTTTTCCTGCAAAATAAGAGCATGCATTTCAGTCCTTGGACTTCCCTAACACATAATATTTATAAATTATTAAATTTTATGTGGATTATGTTAGCAAAAATGTAGCTCTTTACTCGGCAGCAATTGTTGCCGGTGGGGAACTGCATAGTCTAAATTACACAAATCTGGCCTACTTATACACCATAGGAGACATCATTTTGAGGTTCCTTCAGGCCTAGAAAATCTAAAACATATTATAGTTCAAGCTGTGTGGGAACAGCAAGACATATGGAATAAACAGTAAAGCTATGGACACATAGCACAGTGCTGTATTATGCTGGCGGCAACACACTTATATTCACTCTTATGATTAAAAGATGAATGAATGATACAATTTTCTAATATATCAGTAGAAGACACTTGAAAGAACATATGTAGAAAATATTTTACTTGTATATTTTTATTAAAGTATTTTACCAACTTTCTCTTGTACACGTTTGGCAGGAAGTAAAGAGGTCTGGTCATGTGACCTTTCACACTAGATGCAGGAAATTGGTACTTCTTAGAGTAGACACTCTATTATTTGATTTAAAAACTTCAATTAGCTACTAAAAATCAAAACAATTTTTTTACAGCTTGCAGAAGTTAGGAAAAATGTCTGGCAACAATAGTTGCTGGTGGGATTAAACGGGTTGAGAGGTTTTTTGAAACAGCTCGTTTTTCAGACACCAAAAAACATTAACGTGTTGAGAAAAGCAGCCGGGTGTTTCTTATTCTGTTTTTTTTTCTGTTGTTTTTAGAAGCATTTGGAAGTTTTAGCAAATTTACCAATTTCTAAAACTTTGAAAGCTTATTTACGGTCCCTCTAACCTTTTCCACATTGCATCAACATTGATCAAAGTATTTTATTATATTTTAAGTGATATTAACACATAACTATGAAGTTTCTATTTTTTTGTCTTTTCAGCCAATACTTTCTTGAACAATATTTAGCTTTTTTTTGTTTTCTTATCAACTGTCTGCACAGGAAGAGACACATTCTTGTCTGAATCAAAGGAAAATCAAGAGAGCCAAAGGTTTTCTGGTCTCCAGTTTTAAAAATGTTCAATATGATTTAAAAGAGAGCGACATGGAGTGAAGATAATCTGAGCTGAATGCCAAATCTGTCTGAAACCTTTACAATTCAAAGAGACATTTTGCGTTATTCCGGCAAAATACATTTTGCTGCAAAATCCTCATTAATTAGACCCAGTTTTAAAAATACTTTATTTGTCTAATAAAACATGAAACTGTAAAGCTTATAAATATTTACTCTTTTTAAAAGGTTTTTAAACAAAGAGAAATTTAAAGCCTTTGTAATAAGAGGATGGTAATGTATTCATAAACAATCATTTTCAATAAATGCATTGTTTTCAAAAACACACACACAATCAAATCCTCCAAAAGATTATTATTGTGATTCTTTTTAAAATATTGTCTTATTTAAAGACAATATTGAGCCGTCCTCAGTTTTATTTAGGCACAATGCAGTGGATTAAATCAGAACATATTGATGTGTTAGATTGGTCCAGTCAAGACTTGAAAATCGATGTTCTCTTTCCTCCTTTACTCACATTTTTATGGGCATTTCCTTCTTTTTCTCAACCTCAACTCTGTTGGTTTGTTAAATTAAATTCAGGTGAAGTCTGCGGTTGAAATGTGACAAAACGTGATAAAGTTAAAGCAGTACGAATACTTCCGCAAAGCACCGTGCTGTCCTTTTAAAGGTATTTTATTTACTGCGCTGATATGCACAGCGCTGACTGACGGCTTATTCGTCAAAGTTGTGCAGCCCTGCCCATCTGCCCCTAAAACACTGCAGCAAACTGCAATCAGAAGAGTAACAGACACAGGATTATGGGGCAGCGTAGCCGTGTTTTAGAGGAGCTCGGCTCGAGCTGACCTCAGCGTGGACGTCCAGAGCGTACGCAGAGATGCTAACTCTGCACTGCTTACACATACATAGAAAAAAAAAGATACTCTTGCCTCCTACCAAGACTTCCAGCTGGCTCACACTACACACACACAGACACACACACGCATACACACACGCACTGAAATGCCTCTTGAAAGGCTTGAAAGAGAGAGAGGGGAAGATGGGAGAGAGGATGGAGGAAGCTGAAGAGGGATTGGGCAGAAGCTTAGGGAGACTTGATGAGAACAGAGGGGTGTAGATGCAAAGAGTAAAAGTTGCGGACTGCAGAGAGGAGGAGAAGAAGAAGGAGGGATGAGGAGTATACAGTATGAAAAAGACGAGGAGAGGACTTCAGGGGATACTGCTGCGAGGAAGAGAGGAAACAAAGACTCCAGCAAGGTAAGAGGAAAAACGCTTGAGCAGAGAGGGTGAAAAGACAAAGTGGAGGACAAAATGAAGAAACATGCAAAGCAGTTCCAGCAGAGTGAGAATTGGGCCACTTCAAGGACACATATAGACGCTAACACACACACACACAAACGGAGGGGACAGCATGCTTAGCTGGACACAGATGAGCGGGGATAAAGTGAGGGACAGAACTAAACTGCTTTTTTCATTGTGTGTGTGTTCATGCTTTTTTCTCGCGTCATGGCTCAATGTGCCGGTTCTTAATTCGCTAATCTTGGAATTTTGTTCACTTTTATAAAAGTTAAAGAGTGCCTAAGCCACCCGCTAAATGGTGAAGAGAAGAAATTTATTGTTAAATGTTCAAAAAGGGCTTGTTTTAGTCTGAAGAGACCAAATGCAAATAGCAGGGGAGAAACAATAGAGCTGCCTCAGAAAATCTGAAGACCCATCGATCGACTTTGGGATTCACAAGACAACGCTGTACCGGTATTTCTTGTTAAAACAAAGAATAATCATATTTTTGTTGTTTTCACAAAGAATCCAGGTAAAACACTAAATCTAATACCTACAACAGAAAAAAAAGAAGCAATATTCATGCTTCGGGGTTTCTTTAAACAGAGATAAAATGAGGAGGCAACGAGGCCTTGTGACCTTAAACTCACCAATATAGAAGCCAAAAAATGCAAAATCTGCTAAGTGACTTTAGACATGTCATGAGTGACAATGGATAAATACTTTTTTCTTGAAATCGATATAAATCTGCGGGATTCCTGCCTCATTTACTGTCAGGAATAATTGACTGAATTGGATGACAATCATTTCAGGCTGAACTATTGTTTCACACAAAGGCAGCGCCTAGCTGGAGTTTAATTACTTATTTCCAAGACTGAAGTTGAAAACATGACCAGAAAAGTATGAGTCACACAGAAAAGTATGAGTCACACACTGACAGGTGCTGATGAATCCTGAAGCTGTAACATTTTTGCAAACTTTGCCATACTTATTGTGTAAAATGACTCAGTCCGGTTGGGTCAGGCTATGCGTTGCAGTGTAATTTCTGCCACAAAGCAGAAGGTCTTCAATGATCTTAAATAGTGTCTCTGATCAGTCCAAGCAGGTCCGATTATTGTTCGATTTTCTCTTCTCCGATAGGAAGGTCCGTAGCAGAGTCGGTAGCAACTGATGGCTAGTTATTCTCACAACATTTATGTCTGTCACCGTTTCTTTTTTCCCTGAGTTTTAAAAGTATTTAAAAATTATGACAGCTTGGTTAGTACTTTTGGAACTACTTCTGTTGCTTCGAAATGAAAGCTTGAAACAAAAATGCATCCAGAGCAAAAAAACTAAAGCACTTTCCTTCATTTCCATGGCACTTTAATTTAGCTTAGCTACCAGATTAACTCTTATGCTATTGTCAAAATATTTCTTAGCAGATACTAAGAAATACTTTTGGCGAGATTAGAACCGCAGACATTTTTCTTTCACACCATTCCTTCGGTTTATAGTCTTTTCCATGAGATGCAGGAAAGTGCTGCATTGCTCATAGTATTCTGAACACAATCAGTCTTATTGTGAAGCTGGTCCCAAATGTTGCTTCCTGCTTCCGGTCAGCTGGCTGAAACAAGGTAACCAGTTTGTTTTACAGCGTTTACAAGAAACAGGGCAAAAAAAGAGGAAAAAAAAGATCATGAACAGTGAAGCTTTTTTGACCAAAGTAATGCTGTCCGCCTCTTTTATTCAGCCAAAACTATTTTAAAAAACAACATGCTGGTAGCGAGAGCAGAGAAACTGGCTTATTAACCAGCTTGTTTGGCTCTGTAAAGAGCAGAACAGAAACTATACCACAAACTACTCAAATGTAATATTTATCAGTATTTCAGTTTATCCCCCTTAAATCTTTTGTTTTTTTTTTACTCTCTTTTTCTGTTAATTATAATAAAATTAACTAGCAAGAACTAGAAAATCTCTGCCATAAAATGCTCTACCACAAGTGGATTTAGTGCAAATGTAAGACTCTCTGCGGCCCACTGGGACCCCCATGGGCCAGGAAGTTAACCCAGTTCTGCTGCAGTGGAGCCGCTGTGAAGCAGCAGCAGCATCAGCACCAACATCAGCAGCAGCAGAGAAGTTTTCTCTGTGAGAATCTGAGAAAAAATACTACCAGGTAAAATCTACGTTTGTGCATTCATCCGTCGCGGCCGATGTCCGTCTTCAGCAGCAGTTTGGTGGCAGGCGGGGTAAACCCTCGACAGGTCACCAGTTCGTTGCAGAATCTATGTACATGCTCAGCAGTTTTTCATTTAATGTCGGCAAAAGTGCAGCAGCCAGAAGACGTGTGTTATGAAGTTGGTAAAAACTCATGGGCTTTACTGCTCAGGCAGAAATGTTTGCTTCATGCAGAACACTGAATTTATCGATTTATTATCATTTTTTTCTCTGCAGGGTTTTGTGCAGAATTTTATACACTAAATGAACTGATTAAAAGTTTAGCTGTCATGCCATCAACACCTCCGTGGCTGTGCTTGAAATCCTTCTTCTCCAGTTAAATGACAGAAAATGTAAGATAAGGCATCAGTGGAGCAGAGGATAGCAGAATGCTTCAAAGTCATTTATATAACGCTGCAGTCGCCCGCAATGAAGAAAAAAATACCACAGAGTAGGTTACTTTCCACTATGTGACAAAGCAAAATGGTTTAGTGTTGATTATGGTTCACTGGTTTGCTCCAGGAGAGGCCGGGCGCTGGGGAAGCTTATCTTTGCTGATGCTAGAGGATGAAGAACATTTATTTTATCACTGGTCTAACACAGAGTAACAACTCTGCACAACTATCAGACGGTTGAGTCACCAATCAACCCAACAGCACATCTTTTAATAATGGGAAGAAGTGCAACTTGACAGAAAAAGCCCCGGCAGAACCACAGGGGTTACCCTGACACCGTTTTCTCATGACTAATTTAATAGTTTGCAGCATATTTCCATTGTTCTTGCATCACTGCATGCAACGCCTTGCAAACTCATTCTGCTTTATTTTTTTAGCATATTTTTATGGGTAAAGCCACAAACTTTACAATGTTCTATTTGGGATGTTAGGTAGAACACCGAAACAAAGTAGTGCATTGTTGTATTGGAAGGATGTGATAAATGGGTAAAACATGCTTCACAAAGAAAGTCCGAAAAGTGTGTTGTGCATTTGCATTTAGCACCTGAGTCAGTACTTTAGTTTAGACGAATTAGAGCTGCAGGTCCTTTGAGAAATCCACAGACTGTGAATTTTACTTTGAAAAGTAGGCTAAGCTGAGTCAGATACATTTGAGAGCATCCATCAACGCTGATTTTCCTGAAACCATTACAGAAGTGGTACTTAAGACTTAGGTTGACTTGGACTGGGCCGGTCTCAGATTTGAATTGATCTTTGTCATTTTGGATTGCATTATCGCTGGAAAGTGAACTTTGACTCTGAGTCTCAAATCTTTTGCAGTCTCTGTTTTAAGAGATTTATTGAGCAAAATGCACTTTTTGCATGATATTTTTTACATTCACTAGGATCTTTACTGCTTCCAAAATCCATTGTAAGCAATATCGCAGTAAAACTAGCTATTGGTCAGCTAGTTTTACTGCGGTATGCTCTGTACAATGGCAGCTGGAAAACACAAGTGTTTTGTTGTTGACTTACCATTCAGAAACCATGTGCTGCATTCTTATCAGTTGTGCAGGAAGCCCTACGTATGCTTTTCATAAATGTACGGTTGTGTAATGGCGCATCTGTTTGCAGTTATTCTCACATGTAAGTGTAAATGTTGAGTTAGGGCGCCTGGCCAGCTCCAGCTTTACTTCACTTTAGATTTGAAGTGACAAGATGCCCTAAAACAGCTCAATCTAAAAGGAGCTAAAAAAAATCTCATTATTTAAGAATAATTTTGTGTAAAAATGTAATTAACATGTTTTGTATGGCTCATAGACCGATCCCATAATAAACATAATAGTTTTGATTTCCCTCTGGGACTAATAAAATATATTTGATTTGATTTTCTTTTTGGGGGCTTTTCTGTTTTTTTTGTTTTACAAGGCTGTGCAATGTTGTTTGAGTTATATTGATGATTTATTTTAGTTTAGCGGTCTTGTTTATTACAAGTAAGGTCTTTGAGCTTTCATAGATGTTTTTAGTTTTGGTTTATTTCTTTCAAATCTCACCTAGTTGAGAGTTATTCTCATTGGAAACCAAAGCCTTCCTAACACTTTAGTGAGCAAATTGACTCTTCTTTAGATGTTCCTCCATTTCTCATGTTCAGTTTCATTTGAGGTGGCTCCTCGTCGCCGCTTTCATTTAAAATCCTCCCATAAATAATATTTGATCTATAAATCAGGGTAATGTAAAAATACTTAGGGATATGCAGAGTAAGTTTTCTGCCACACGTATTTTTTTTTACAGGAAAGAAAAAAGTAAAATTTTGGCATGAAAACTGGCAGGAGTTTTTTATTTCTGAAATATAAACTTCTGAAAATTACTAAGTTGTTATATTAGTTAATAAAAATAATAAGAACAAAACATGTGTGAATGTTTGTGGTTGTAATGTTGGAAAATGTTGACAATTTGAACTCTTGTGAATATTTTTTCAGTCATTTGAAGCTTTTTTGCAGTACTTTATATAACAAGAAATATGTCATATTGTCATTATTGTGAAGGAAGATGGCTGACAGTTAGGTTTCCCAGCATGGAGATTGAAGAACAGCAGCTTTTGTTGTTTTCTTGATTTAATTTTCTCAATAACTGATATCCATTTAATCTTTACTTTGAATAAATTGACCTTTAACATTGACCTTTCCTACTATTTGAACCTCGCTGCTTCAATAAAAGCTCATATAAAACGGAAGCGCTGGAAACTGAAGCCCTGGCTGTGGCACAGACAGCAGCATCCTTTAGTAATCAAAATGCAGTGAAAAGAGACGCCGTTACTACATGTGGTAATGTGAGAGCAGAACAGTAGGAACAGGACATGCAGGGCAGAGGTCAGCGGCGGATGGCGGCATCAGGCAGGTGTTGTATTGCAGGTCAGAATAAGGATTTACTTTGTGCAGGAATTGAGGCGGCTTGTTTGGGTTTGTCACGACATAGTTCCCATCAATAAGGACCGCAGCGGCGTATTCTTCGTAAAATGTTTTTCTCTCATATTAAAATTTAGCGTTCTATATCATTTTAAACTCAGAATATTTTAGTTTGAATCGATGAGAAGAGAGTCTATTTAAAGAAAATTCATCTTGTGTTAGTACTAACATTACAGATAGCCCATTTTATATTTGTTTTTAAATGCAACAATCAGGGTTTTCCCCAGTGTATTATAAGCCTGGCGGGCCACCAGGGAGTAACATGCTCCCTATCTCTAAGGGAGAGTCCAGACGCCGTGCAGAGAAAACCCATTTCGCCTGCTTGTATCTGGCCGGAATGGCGGGATACAAGCCTGGCGATCTGATCCCACCACAACAGAGAAGTCCAAAACTTTGATCAAAATCAAACACAGACTCAAGAGAGAGTCTGTTGCTATTTGTAATGATGATATGAACCATGGCTGGCTTCCAATCTATCCCAGCATTACCTATATAAATGGAAAATATTCACTTCTGGGACTGATCCCTCAGGAACTCCTAAAGAACTTCAGAGAAGCAAATTAAAGAAAATTTATATTTTTATGGAGCTTCAGGATAAAGAATTATATCATCTGCATAGAAATGTACATTCGCCAGATGCAAATGTTTTCCTGGGTTATTTAAATAAATAGAAAATGTGATTGGCCTCAAAAATAACCCATGAGGAAGACTTGTGTTCACCTTCACAGCTGAAGATTTGTAATGCAGTCCGGATTCTGCAATGTGGTTCAAAAACCAATAATTGTGCAAGAGAAGAGAAGTGATGACAGCTATTAGTCAGGGCATCTGTAATATCCCCAGTGGGAACATTTGTATCACAGCCAGCAGAAAATACATTCATCAACAATAAGTACAATGAATTACTATGATAAAAAACATGACAATATAGACATAAAAACAATTTTGGTAGACAAAATAAAAAGAAATTTAAAAAACTCAAAATGAAACATTTAAAACAGGGGTGTGAGACAGACTCATTTTTATTTTGGACCTCAAGATGCAAGATCAAGATGTCCTCAAAGGGCCAGTTGTAGCAGAATGTATTGATAAGACCAATGAACAAACTGTGAAATTATTGCAAAACAGCCGTGTCTGCATTTGATTAGTACTTCTTAATTAAAAAATATTGAGCATCTTTTCACACTGATCAGTCCCTCCAGGATTTAATGACTGTCTTTGACATTTTGCAATCAAAGTCACTTTTTGGAGCTACTTCCAAGTAAAATTTTGGAAAATGTTTGTGCTTACCGTAAATGTTACTTGTGTCTCAAAAAACAGGAAGACTGATGTAATTTTGCAGCGTACAGATAAAAAGTGCAGTAATTTGATTGATAAAGTGACATTTAATCACACAACTGTAATCTTAAAGGTTCCCTCCGCCATATAAAAAGTTATCGCGGGTCGGGTTTGGGTTCCAGGCCTCGAGTTTGACATATGATCCAAAAAGACGGTACCAGCAGGTAAAAATGAATTCTTAAATTTGTTGGTCCTGCAACTTTTGAAAGCAAATTTGCGTCCTGAGGGGAAACTCTGCGAACAGGGGGTTGTTGGGTTCAGCTGAAATTGCCTGAGCTTTCTTCAGGGATCTGTTTTTGTGCAGAGCGGAGATGTTGCTCGGAGGGGCGTGTGACGTGAGCATATCATTCTTATTCAAAAATTAATCTTTTAAGTGATTCCAGTTGTGTAGCTGTTAATGGCTGTCTAAAAACAGGCAAATCACCATATTTTAACAAGATTTAGTATTAATAAATAGAGAAGAGGCGATTAGAGAAGGAAAGATTTCTAAAGAGAGAGAGGTGCAGAGATGGTGCACTATCCTTGCGCTTGCTGCATTGCTGTGCACGAACACGACGGACTACGCTACAGTCAGAGGAGGAGTTCAAATAACCAAGAGGAAGCAATTGAACATATAGCACTGAGGTCAGCATGCAGTCTGTCATCCGCTGCTTCCTAACCTGTGTCACTCAGGCCAAAATACACTCTGCGCTCGTGTCTCTTTAACTACATGCCTGTAATTTACCAATCTCAGTCGAAGCCTGCGGGACATTGAAGCGTCAATATTATCTTTCAGCTGACTAAATGAATGCGCTAATGGCTCTTTCCTTTTGATTTTGCACCAGAGAGAGACAAAGAAGGGCACTCTTCTCTTCTGTCTCTCTCCCACTTATTGCTGAAGATCAAGAAAGCACAGAGGACTCTGTGCAGGGGGATGAATTTGTTTAATTTTGTGATATTTTGAGCAGAAATGCCCCGATATGAATTGCTGATATTAAAAATAAATAAATAAATAAAAAAACACATCCTTGAAGCTGAGACCGGATACAATTTATAACATTCAGCTCAATCCTTCATTTGTGCCGTTCGCTGCGGTACCCGCGTCACATAATCAGCACTGCTCCCCCTCTGGGAAGATTAAACTAATCGAGCCCAATCAAGAAAGCTTTGCTGCACGCCAGCAGATGAATGGGGCTGAGGTTGCCATGGTGATACCTGAGCCCGACAGCGGAGGGGTAACAGAAGGGTCCCTCGCAGCAGCTGTAACGGCCTGTTTGAGCTCAAATGTCAACCAGAAATATCAGAGCAGCCTCAGCACTGTGAAACCAACACGCAGCCATGTGGAAAGTTTGCTCCTATTTTTGCACCGGAAAGTGAACATCACACCAGCCCAGTTTTGCTGATTTCCAGTTTATTTAATGTGAGTTAGTTCACTCTCACCGTGTTCACATGCACAACATGAAGGGTTTTTGTTGGCTGCGAGACCTGATTCTGATGCTTGTTTAACATTTATTGCTCCAGCTTTGTTAAATGCATAAAAAAAATAAAACCAACTGTACGAGATCTGAAGGGATTTTGACGATAATAGCTGCATCATTTCCAGCTTGAGTTCCCAAGAAACCATGATCCCAAAGAGCAGAGAGGGGCAGACATAGCATCGGAAAACTGGGTTTTATTCCCACTGTTGTCCAGGAATAAAGCAAGAAAAGGATAATTAAACACACTATTGAAAAATAGACCTACGTCGATTATCAATATGAACGTCACAAAATAAAGAAAAACATCCAAAGAATTAAAAGTGGGAAAAAATGTACTAGCAAATTTTGAGCTGAAGTTACAAAAACATGGTTCTTCCTCCAAATATCGATTCCTTATTTATTTAAAACATTCGTATTGTTGTTTCCAAATGAATGTGAATTTGTTTTCTTTTCATTATTTGAGGTCAGAAAGCACTGCACTGCGTCTTTTGGTTATTTTGACCAGTTCTCATTTTCTGCATATAAATACTCATTTTTTCCTTGGAATTTTATAGACGTGTTACCAGTAGTTCATAAAATAAAAGAACAATGTTCCTTTTTCTCAAACGTGTAAAAAGTAAAATCAGAGAAACTGATCATTTTAAGTGGTCTCTTAAATTTTTCCAGAGCTCTATATACAGTATATTACTTAGTTTTGCATTTAAGATAAAGAAAAAAACTCGTAAAACTCATCATGACAAAGTTTTAGTTTCACTTAATTAAAATTTTCTGCATTTTAATGTTTTATTTATTTTCATCTTTCAATGCATTTCTAATATTGTATGAAAACACTTAAGTGGTTAAATGAAAGATCTGTACAATGTGACATTTTTTCAATGTGATTAATCATCAGAATAGATTAAATTATACTAAAATAATTGGTAGTTGCTGCCCTGGTTTGTATTTACCAATGTTTCAGAGAACTGGGCAACCCGGCTGTTAGGTTTATGTTGGATTAAAACATAGAAAAATGTTGTTTTGTTCTTCTAACAAAAAAAGTTAGAACAAAAGTTCTTCTAAAGTTCGGTTTAGAAGAACTTTCTAAACTTTAGAAACATTTTTTAAGAAAAAAACTGCTAACACATCAAGGTTTAAACGGTATTTTTGTTAAATTAGTTGGTGCTCATTTATATTTTCATCGTCATATAACAAAGAGACAACTCCCTTAAATTTAAAGTAAGTACTGCTCTTGTACACATTCTTTCTTTAGCGACGTTTCAACGTTTGCGCCTCTAATTAGTTTTTCTGGTTGCCATGCACCTGCAGATATAATCAGACCAAATGTGATGTTATCGTGGAAACTGTGAGCCTTTCATGTAATCAAACCAAAGACGACAAATCGTTCCAACATGCACCTATTTAGGAAACTCCTCCAGGTGGTTATTTTGGGTGGACCATCATCCTTTTGAATGAAAGGATGTTTTAACAGTGGTTTTAATGGACTGTCTGTGCCGGAGCAGCACTCAGGTCGGACAGGATTTGTGTGTGTTTCCCACAAATTTAACCCCCAGCAATATTTTTCTGTCCATTCATTCTCCACAGGAAGATATTTAAAGACTCAATCTGTTTGTGAATAAAAATCAAACAAGTGTGCGTTCCTTTCATCGGTTTTTGTAGGATTAAGTAGGATTTCTCAACTGGATAAGTTGAATAGAATAAAAAAATGAGCCTGTGTTTTTGTTTTCCAGGTCTTGTGGCATCTTGACATCTTTAGGAGAAGCTTTCGGCAGCTGACCACTCATAAGTGCATGGAGGACTCATGCATCTTCTGCGCTCTAAAGGTATGAACTGCAACTCCTGTTTTTCTAAGTAACTTTGTTGGGGGGGTTTTCTGTAAAAATCAGAACCAGTCCGTTTTTTTACAATGTTTATTTGTTATCTTTTGCCTTTATAATTGACATGGAATGGCATTTGAATTTAATCAGGGAAAACACAGTTACTTTGTGTAAAAGCCATGAAGAAGGGTGTGGAATATATTGACTGTGCATACAGTGATATTGGGCTTTTACAGATGCCGTAGTTCTGGTTCTGCGCATGCGATAAGCGTTTCGTTCTGGCGCTTAGGTATGCTAGCGGCTAACGATTATTAAACCATCAGGATATCAGGAAAATCAACGAGACTCTTTATGACCACAACACGCAACAAAAGGGAATATTTTAATAACAGAGCTGGACACGGTGCTTCTACTTCAGCGATTATTATCTGAGTTAGCTTACTAACATTCAAGAGGATATCAAATATTAAGCAGCAGTATGGTAGCTAACAACGGTGCTAACATCAGAGCTAACAACGGAGTTTGCAGATATTCGGAGTAAAAAAAACTCACAAGCTTTCTGAAAGTTAATAAATTTACAACCTACAGGTGTGCTTATATATATTCATACATGAAGAATGGGAATATTTTAATAAAAGAGCCGGACACGGTGCTTCTACTACAGCGATTATTATCTAAGGATAAGTTCCTGTGCTCTTCACTATAGCTAGCGCAAGCGCTCGACTCCCCCTGCTGGTTGAATCTGACCTCTGCATCACCCAAATCAGACTAGACATTAACATCTTCAGCCCAAACTGGTGGCAAAGCTTACGGCCTCTTAACATCAAAAGGAGTAAATGTACCTCTGAATTTCAATCCGCCACATTTGCTCATTTATGGCAATAAATTGTGTGAAACCGTGAAAGCCAATACATGTTTACAAAGTGTTGATCTCCTTTTCAAAAGCTGAATTTTCTTTGTTTAAAACTTAGCCGTGTCATTGGCCCAAACCAAATGCAGTCATTTATTTAAAAGACCAATCACTCAGAAAAATTACAACAGTATCTGTTCTGCTTTTCAGTTAATTATATTCTGTGATTCTCTTATTCATTTCTGATGGTGGAAGCTCAGATTTGGTGTCATCCAAGTCATGGGAATTTGATAAACTGTCACTGTCTTAAAACTGACTCATCAGGCAGAGACTTTCTCACAGTCATTGTAATATGAGCAAATAAAAATCACATTTGATATGCCATATAATGTGAGAAAGAATATAAAGTTCTGTTTTATAATCAGATTTATTTATCTTCTTTTGGTTTTTTATTTTCATCCATATTTTCTTTTAACTTCACTGACAGATTAAGCACCACAAAACGTGGACTAGAATCCCATAATCTCCTTTAGTCCATTTTTATCAAAAAAAAGAAAGAAAAAGAGAAGTTTCTCTCAAATTGTGTTATCAATCAAAAAAAAATTTTTATGCTTTTATGTGTTGTCAAAAATCATTCACTTTAATCTATGAAAAATATATTTATTGAAATGAATGCAAACAGACTCTTCACATGCCAAACATGGAAGAAATGTTTTGGTACAGGTGAAATAATCTGCCTGTGCAACTAGTACTTTTTAAAACTATTGTTAATACATTATTGACTTAAAACAAGCTGCTATACCTTGTTGAAAAGTCACTTCAAGTTAGTTTTGTTTTATTTCAATTGAACTAAAAACTAAGCCAAAAATACTTAAGATTTTGTGTTTTTGCAGTTTCCAGAGTCAGAGCTTGAAAAAACAACTATCTCCATCACATCGTTTCAAGAAATAATATTGTACAAATTGAATTGGTTTCAGAAACATTTTCACATTAACACATGCTGATCGGCCCCTGAACTTTGTATTAAGCATGCCAAACCCATAGGGGGCAGTGTAGCGCAAAGCTAAATTCGATGTCAGCCAATGACATCAATGTCAGCTTCAAAACAATCACGACTTCCTGTTAGGAATTAAACATGGCGCCAGGACGTTCATTTGTGCTGACAGAGGGTGAACTACTTTTGAATAGGAATCAAGTTAAAGCAACTATGTGGATATATCGGTGCATTATTTGTCACAGGTTGTAATAGTTGGCACTTTAAATCTGTTTTCCCATAAAAACACAAATACAGAGTTTTCTCAAATCCCCACTTTGGTATAAATTTTTGTAGATAATTGTTTTCAGTGGTATAAAACTGAGTTTTTGTGTGGATGAAAGGAAAAAATGCATAACAATATATTTTTCCTACATGTGGATTATTTTACACACTGAATCAGAATAAATGGTTAGATTGTAGTACAACAGTTTAGCTATTATTTCAATGCACTTGGAATGCACTTCAGTACTGGAAGTCTGTCACAAAATTATCGGTCTCTTTGGGAGCGAACTATAATGAATGGTTTAAAAGTTTTGCACAGTCTTTTGGTAGCCTGGCATCTCAGCAGTCCAGAAGATGAAGATCTGTAACCTCCTGCCTCCCTGATAATGACCAGGCTTAATGCAGCCCCGCTCCGGCCATTTGTTGCATCAGCGCCATTATACATGTGTCTGATCCTGGAAGTGTGCGATGCGGCCGGTGTTGATGTGCGCGCTCCGCACGCCGCTCCGTCTCCAGCGCCTCGCTGTAATTAATTGGCCCGGCTGAAAGCGCTGAGCCAGCACATCCCACGCTGGGGTACTGAAATAAGAAACGCACACAAATCTCACTTTGCACTCCAGCCACGCACCTCAGGATCCTCCCGCTTGCGCCGCACACGTACGGAATTTGTAGCTCGCACCGCGCCAGTCAGCTGTGGGTGCAGAAATGAAAGGTGGTGTCCCGTATTTTTCTGTCAGGTTCCATTAACCGTCCTGCCAGCTATCAGCTGCAACGCTGCTCCCCACAGTCTGCTTGGGAGTTGATTAAAGCATCTGAATAACCGAGGCAGACACTCACCAAATTAGCTTCAATGGAGTGTTAAATTTTTTTAAACAACTTCTTTAAAGATGCAGCAACAAAAATCAAGGTTATGTTTTAACTTTACTCTAGGTTGATTTGCAGCAGATGAAGGCTGCATCGTGTAGTGGAGATAAGTTCAGGGGACGCCGGTAGCTATCCCTCAAGAAAATCACTGCAACAATTTATCTCTCTCAGCAGCAAAACACTTTCACATTTACACACGCACACTTGGATGCAGATACCTGAGAACACACTGCAATAACCAGGAAGAAAAAAAAAGTGAGGAAAGGGAATTAAAGAATGGAAAACTGGAGGAAAGAAGGAAGAAAATGAATGAACACGGGAGTGGATGCTGATTGTTTCTGTTTTCACACGCTGACATGTGCACACACACTCAAACACACATCTCTAACTCACTCACTCCTCCCTCCCTCTCTCTGTTGGGTCTATTCCCCCATCCATTCTCCTTGGCGCAATGCTGCAGTCAGCACACACACCATATCACACACAATATTGCTCACACTTTCCCTTTTCCTCCTCTCTCTCTGTTTCTGTCGTTCACACACACACCCATCCACACACTCCTCTCCGTCAGCAGCACGACTGCATTACCTTTGCCGTTGCCAACACTCGACTTGCACTCACTCTGATGAAGCCCATTGTTTGAGAACATTTTCACGCCGTTATCATCGCAGCCATTTTGGTGAACTGCTTCCTGAACGCCACCTGAAATCAGATCCTCTGAACTTATAATGAAGGACATAAACCATTAGCGAATCAGTTATGCTAGAATGAACATATCCTTATTTTTTTACCCCCCATTTAAAAATAGCGATTAAAGCAAAAACACATTACTAAACCTTTCAACGTGGACATATTTTAGCAGTGTTTCTACACGAATTTAAAACTTTTTAAGATTATTTTGAATTAAATTTAAGACCTTGACCTCCGCAGAAATGTACAAACTTTATCCTGCCAACTGGCGATGAATTTGCACGCAAAAAAAAAAAAAAAAAAAACAAGCTAGCTAAGCTAGCGAGGGTATGCTAGCGGTGAGGGTGACCAAAGTTATGCCTGACTGAAAAGTTCTGCAGGAAAAATAAAGTACTTAAATCGTTCAGTTAAGAGAAAATTTAAGACCTGTAACCCATACATTAAAGGCTAACTTACATTTTAAATTTTTATTTTAAGGTTTAATTTTTAGATACATTGATTTAAGAGTTTGTAAGGATGCAAAGACACCATGTTCTCAAGACATCAAGTAGATACAATTATGTTTAACTAGATTTATCTCAGTAGTTCTGCATGGAGTTCAGATCAGGCCAGTTTGCTGGTCAGTCAGGGACATTGATGCCACAGACATTGGCATAAGTCTTGGTATCTTTAGCTGTGTTGACAGGTGCTGAATCGTTATTGAAAACATAATCAGGTTTTTCATAAAGTTTGTAGATGTCCGACTCTGGAGTTGATTAAACACAACAGAAAACACAATGGCTCCCAAAATCATCTAAAGGTGCAAACTAAACACTGGATCTCAAGCAACTTGGATTCTCTTCCTCCAGACTTTATTTTTCAAATTAAATTTATTTTGAATCCAGGAATGCAACTATTGCTGAGCAAGAAAATATTTTCAATATAGGAACAAAAAAATAACAAAGAAATCCTAAAGGCTGGCTTAAAAATTCAATTTTATAAGCAATACACTGACATTTTTTATTTAATGAATAGATTTGAAAGAAAAACAAACATTTCAATGTAACGTCACATTTTAAGGAAATGTAGTTCAGTTTTGTTGCTTCAGCTTGATTTTCTTTTACCTCTGGTTGATGAACTAAAATGGACCCACTGTGGATAGAAACAGATGGCGACGAACTGTGACTGTGTGTGAATATTTTTCTCTTGATATAGTGTTTTTAAAAGTCCTCAGGACACAGAGGAGACCTGCTGCTTTTCAGTCCAGCTGTCTCATCAGCAACTGCATCCACCACTGCGACTGAAAACCAGCAGAGGACCAACCACTGTTTGGATACGTCAAGCCAAATTAGGTTTATTTCTGTCCCAGGCTTTCTCAAAAAAATTAAAATAAATAAATGAATGAATTCATGTTTTTTTTTCCCAGCATAAATCTCTTCCTAACTAAAAAATAGGTCATTTTTATCCGTCCGCATAAAGTTGATTACGCTTTTATCTCTCTGTTTTGGTGCTGAAGCCCTCCATCCAGCTGAAGTCAAATTCACTCATTGCTGGTACCTGTGTTTAGAAACGTAATTTCGCTCTCTCTCTCTTTTTTTTTTGTGCTAGCAACACTGCACTATCAGCACCAATATTGCAGTTTTAGCTATCCTAAAGACAGCTACACTCAAATAGGAATTGATTCAGTTCAATATAGTTTAGTCCAGCCGATTTAAATTCAGTAGAATCTAATTTACTGAATTTGATTCAATTTAGTTCATTTAAATCAAGTTCAATTTGTACAGTTCACTTGATTTAAGTGAGTTAAGTTCAGTTAAATTCTGCTCTGTTGAGTTTGTTGAGTTTAGTCCAGTCAAAATCGGAGATTTTATTTTATATTTTTTACAATTTTACAGTTTAAGCCAACTATACTCAGTCTGATTTGGTTTTCAGACCATTAACATGAAGTCCTGGAATAATGCAACTCCTCCAACTTTGTTAGTCTTGAAAATATTTTGTAGACGCCTTCTGATGTCCAAATTATTTGAATCTGCATAGATTATAGAAATAACAAAAAAATGCGGAAAGGCTTTAAGGAAGAAAATGTCAGGTGTACTTCTTGTAGAAACAGGATTTTTATTCCATAACTAATTAGTGAAGCTTGCAAAAAGAAGCACATATTTTAATGGACTGGTTTGTAAGATCAGGATTGTTTCCTCTCATAAGACCCGGCAGACTGCCGGGTCTCTCCATGATGTCCTTCACATCGAAAGCTGCCCTCAAAACATACTTCAGTGGCCTAGCTTTCTCTGTTAGCCACCTGGTTTGGTTTCTATTTCATTGCTACAAAGCTCTCTTTGAGCTGCTATATTTTGTTTGAGAAAAGTGCCATTTATTATTTACATGTTGTGATATTGAGGCCTCGGTAGTGCCATTTGTTTTATCCCTGTCAGAGAGTGTTGTTCAGCACTTTAGCTCTTGATAGGTTCACAAGTTTTCCTGCTTCTGTTTGTATCCTTCTTCCTGCTTCTTAGAATAATTTGTTGATCCAGGAAAATGCATTGACAGTTTTTTTGTTGTTTTTGTTCTAGCTCCAACAATGCAGAGGTGTGTCAGGAGCAGTGTTATAGTGCGAAATAGTTGATATTTGCTGCAGCAGATGAAAAATTAATGGATTCTTTATATTTGTGTGCATTTGCAGAGTATCTTTGCTCAGTTCCAGTTCAGCAGCGAGCGCGTTCTGCCGTCAGACGCACTGCGGAGCGCGCTGGCCAAGACTTTCCAAGACGAGCAGAGGTTTCAGCTGGGCATTATGGACGACGCTGCCGAGTGCTTTGTGAGTCTGCAGCAGCAACGTGGCTTCACATATGTACACAGTGGTGTTTTGTTAGTTCGTTTAATACATACATATATTTTCATAACCAACAGACTAATTCAAGGAAAAGAAACATCCTCAATGTCTGTTTTTTTGTTTGTTTCATCTTAGCAAAAAATAGCCAAAAAGCATGTACATTGAAAACCCTTTGTACTCGGGTCCAAATGCAAAATAAGGAGTCCTGGGAAGTCCTGTCACATGTATATCAGTTATGATGCGCCCTCTTGATGACTTTGTGAGTGTATTGGGGTCATAAATCTTTTTTTCCAAAACACTCAAAAACTTTTTTTTTACGCTGTAGAGTTTTGTGGAAAGAGATTCATTTAATACAATTTCCTATGTGGAAAATGAAGCACTGTGAATGTTTTCAATATGCAGAGTAAGAACATTTATGTGGAAGTCAGTAAAAAGTTGTTGTTTTTGGAGTATATTAAACTGTAAAACTTAATAAGAAAATATTATAGATTATGTCTTTATCCTTTTAGTTCTGTGTGTAGCAGTTCCTAATATTATGCAGATCAAAATATTATTTTTATAGCTGTAACATCTTTAAACTTCCTCTGTGCTACTGGTTTCTTCCAGGGAATTTCAGTTGCTTTCGCCACTCTTTGCCCTCTGTGTGTGTGTGTGTGTGTGTGTGTGTGTGTGTGTGTGTGTATTTTATGTGTGCTTCTGGGAGGTGCTGTCTGATCGATTGGTAGTAAATGTGTTCAGTCAGGGAATCCGTCGGCTTCTTATGAAATATAGATGCTGCTCCCACGGTCAGATTAACAAGAGCACCAGCAGAGAGGAGCAATCTAACCCACACACACACACACACACTACATACAGCACTCTTAAAACCACACGGCTCATATGTGTAAACTTTGTTTCTCAGGAGAATCTGCTGATGCGTATCCACTTCCACATCAGCGCGGAGAGCAGGGAGGACATCTGCACAGCCAAACACTGCATACCACACCAGAAGTTTGCCATGACTTTGTTTGAACAGGTGAGTAATTAAAAGAGAAGCAATTGATCATATGGAAACCCAAAACTAGTATTTTGTTCTCTAGACAATCCTACCACCAACTTGACCCATATATTTGTTCAAATATTTAAGAACTCATCGTCATTTTCCACTTGACTGATTTAATTTGTATTATCAGATCTCCTGTGTCTCAGATTAGCATCAAATTGTGACTTTACTCAACACTAGACATTTATACCTTTAGGGAAAGAAAACTGTAATTTAATGCATTCATCTTAACAAGGAGTTTGGGGTAACCATTTAAAAAAATAACTCTTTTTCACTTTAAGTATATTTCCAGTGGGGCTGTCGGAACGTACAGCTTAAGTAATCAAGACTTAGTCCATAAATTACGGTGTGAGTAATAAAGTGCAATAGCACAGAGAATAACTATTAAATATACAATAAAGAAACGTTAACAGTTACAGTTAGTAGATATTTCCAAAGACTTTCACTGTCTCTGCAGCAAAAGGTGGTTTTATAAAAAACTGATTTCAGGACAATCTGAAATTTGATTTTAACATTTTTTTGATCTGGAAAATTGTGGAAAAACGTGTATTTGAAGAGATTATTCAATTTTCAAAAACACATGTGTCAAACTCAAGGTCTGGGGGCCAAATCTGGCCCACCACAGCTTTTTAAGAGGCCCTTTAGACTCCAAATTACATCAATAAGTTCTTCCAGTTTTTCACAAATTTGCAAAATGCACACAAAATCAACTTCCAATTGGTCAAAAACATTAAGTTGAAGTGACTGCTGCCTCAGCCTTACTTGATGTCAAGTCATTGTCAGCGATAGATACGGCGAGTAATAAAAAGTCACATTCAACATCATATATTACTGCAAATATTGTAAAAATTCCTAACACTCCAAAATCTGCAAGTTTGACAGCAAAAAAACACTAAAACAATCACATAATCCTGGAGAAACAACTGTTTGATATTTTAATAGTTTAATTGGTTTTATCAATATATTTTTGGCACAGCCAGCCCTTTAAGAACATTCAGATTTTGGTATTTCCCAAAATGAAAATGAGTTTGACACTCGTGATCTGAAACATCCAACATCTAATGAAATACATAGAAGTATGAGTTTTGGACAAAATCTGAAAAAGGCTTAAGCTGTATAAATTCTTTTATAAAGACTTTCAGGTACTTGTTTCGGCTGATTTATAACATCTTTAAAAAATTATTCAAGGACGTTTTTTTGTTTTCGACTTTTTCGCCCAAAATTTCACATTTAAACTAGCATTTTTTTGTTTGGGTTCTTTTAAATAATGTTTAGGGAAATCATGCATCTGGACCTCCACTGGTCTGACTTACACGTGCAAATCCAGTCTTCCAGTTTCTTTATCACAGCAAAGATTCGGTGACAAGATGGGAATCTGGACTTTGTTGGCTTGAATTGTTTCTTCATCCGATTAAACAGAAACGGCCCTGCACAGCAAGCTTTGGCCCTTGTTTAGATCCAGAACATGCTTGGAGGAAAAAAAGAAACCCTAAATCATTATGTGATTTAACATTTGATGGCCCCTAACGAGAAAATAATTATCAGAGAAAACGATGTCCTGTAATGAATCCCAGGATGTGTTTCTTCTTACAGTGTGTGTGCAGCAGCTGTGGAGCCTCTTCGGACCCCCTGCCCTTCATTCAGATGGTTCATTACATCTCCACCACGTCCCTCTGGTAAGTCCACATTAACACACACATACACACACACACACAAACACACGCGCGCGCATGCGGGTGAATACACACGGTGCAGTAAACCTGGAAGCAAGCTGAGGCTTAATCATGGCAGTAAAAGAAGGTACAGCGCGTTCTTCACTTCTCTGCACGAGCCCCGGCCAAACGCGGAGAGAAATCACACATGAACATGTATGCGCATACATCATGCGCGTGCTCCTGCGTATGTAGGAGCAGGTGAGCGTGTGCAAACGAATCCCAAATGTGAATGAAGGAACGTCCAGGCAAATCCTCACACAGTCAAAGTGCGTGTGTTACATTTAAATTTCCCACGCTCCAAGTTAATGAAATAAGAAACTTGGTAGCAATCAATCAGTTGCACCCAGGGAGAAACAAAAATCTATAAGTAAAACAGCGGAGCAGAACCACCAAATGAGAAAATGAAACAAAACATCCATACGTATCCCTTTGGTAAATAATCGAAGCAGCAATGCTGGGTGAAAATACAAGTAAACAGGTAGTTCAAGCACAATGGAGCAGCCTTCCCTGTGTTTGTGCCTGTTAACACCGCCAGGCTATTTTTAACCTCACCGAGGCCATGCTGTTTACGGCCTAGAAAGCAAAAAAGTCAGCATAAGTAAGATAATCCAGGGGTGACAAAAATAGAGAGGAAGATATGTGGTTCAAGCAGGGCTCAGACACAAGTAAACAGAAATAAGAACGTCTTCTTGGCTGTGGCGTTGCATTTTCCTGCTTCCCCTAAAAGAGAGCAGTCAAAAGGTTTAATTCAGCAGTGGAAGGGAAAGAAGGAAGGAGAGATTAAGATGGTTTTTAAATTTGTGTTATTGTTGTGATACCTACGAAGCTCTGAGATGTGGACCAGAGCCTGCAGGGTAGTTTTAAAAAGCCTTAGATTAATTACATTAACTACATGAACTGCAGGTCTCACATTTTTTAGTGACAGTACTATTTAATCTCAAATATTCTCTGTAGTTTATGTTTTCTGTTTGTCTGACAGAAAAGGAATTATGTATGTATGAGTTTCTAGTCAGAGGACTTGAAAACAGATACGAACTGTCAGGTTTCTCATGTTTAAGTTCTGTCAGCTCTTCTCCGTTAAAGTATTTAGAAAAAAATCACTTTGAATTAAAGGGAGATTTTATACGAGGTCAAACTTTAGATGTGGAAACTGAAAATCACTGGTTTCAGTGCAGTCTTCCCGTTTGCCGCTGAAAGTCTTGCCTAAGTGAACTGCTGACATTTCGTAGAAAAGTTGTTTTCCCTTTTAATGTCTTACATCTCTCTGATGAATCTCACTTCCTTATAAGCGCCTGCACAGCAAAGAGTATTGTTATCAGTGTGGTGCGTTCACTGACCTGGAGAAGATTCAAAATTTTAAACTCCACTTTTGGTCACAAATTGGGGCTGATTAAACTGAAAATTTAAAAGAGTTTAAGATTCTGGTCTTTATCTAAGAATTTTTTTATTTATTCTCTTGGAATGTATTTTTATTGTCTCTGCAAAAACACAAAATCTTACCAAGTATTGTTGATGTTTCTAATCCAAATATCTCAGCACACTTGTAATAAGTGAAAACTGACTTGCAAAAAACAAAAGCAGGTTTTAAGTCTTTAGCAGCAAAGAGTATGATCTTTTCCTTTTGGCTTTTCTCTCCGGCGTGTCAAATGCTGGCTGCAGTAACCAGGCGGTGAGGATGCTGGAGTGCAGAGAGAAACCAACACCGGACATGTTTGGAGAGCTGCTCCGCAACGCTAGCAACATGGGAGACCTGCGCAACTGCCCTGTGAGAGCATAAACACTTTACTCATGCACTAAGAGATTAAGTAAACTTCAGAGAAACTGTGAACTTTAACTTTGAAATGTATGAGTTTAGTAAATATTTTTAACACACATTAACATTAACATCAGTTTTGGCCTTCCCATTTACGCTTATCATTAAAAAAGTAACATTTTTAAAACAAAATTAATTAACTTCTAATCAATGTGCCTCCATATCACAATAATTAGACAATATTAATTAGCCCAACATCTGGCAGTCATCAGGTACGTGGAGAATCGTGTGTGGAAATGGCCTATGATTACTCGTGAGGACATTTTATTTACACTGCAGGTGGCTTAGCAATGATAAACACGGCATTTAAAAGTGTGTATCTGGAAATGAAGTGTTTACTTTTGGTAATCAGAGATGTACTCTGAGCAGGAATGGCTGCACACATCAGATCAGTGCTTTGTGTGTCACGAATCAGATGTTTTTTAAAGTCAGAATCATCTCCTTTTAAAGCACGAGAGCTTTCTGAAAGCAAACAGAGGTTTTATAACCGCAGCGGTGAGATCAGTAAAGGTGTGAATCTTGAATGTTAAAGCCAGACAACATTAATAAAGCTGAAGTGCCTCTTAAAATCTAAGTGCTTCAACTTGAAGAGAGTCATTTCTGATCAGCAGACTTGATGCAAAACTGTTACTTGTAATTGAGGTATTTTTCATATCTTAGAATAGTTGTTTGCACAACAGATCTTTTTGCATGTTGCTTTAGCATTTTTATTTACCTTTGGGTGATCATTATGTTGTGAACTGCTTACTTGTTGATTTTTAACGTTTTGCGTGTCAGGAAATTGTCGCAATGAATTTGGTGTTTAGGTTATATAATTAAATTGAATTTAAGTTTATTTGATAGGGACAGACACGCATCGACATAGACAAACTGAACAAGACAGCAGTCCTACAGCAGTCCTACGTTTGCGTCATAGTGCATTAGCTTACTGGCTTAATAACTATAAAATAATTTCAATATTAACATTAAATGCATAGTAATCACTTATTAAAAAAAGAAGAAATGAAAACAGAAACACGTTTCGTAGCTTGTAGAACCATATTTAACATCAAAAACATGACAGACGAATGGAGTAATCATACAGGAAACAGCTGGTATATAACATCAGTTTCTTAAACGGTGGTGCCTGGGCGCCCCCTCGTGGCCCGCTGGGTACTGCATGTAAACGACCGTTGATTTGCCGTAATGTTAGCTCAAAGTGCTACACTGCAGCTAACTTTCTAACGAGCTGTCACTCAAGAGGAAAACTGAAGATACCGGTGGAAAGAAAACAACGCCAGGACAACTAACATGATCGGAGGAAGTGAAGTCTTACTTGCTGAAGGTTTTGATGTGTCGTTCACGAGCGATTCGGTTCTTTTGAACGGCTCTGTGCCGTGAAAGGTAGGGACTTCAGTCTCAGTTAGCAAGAACTGTTCTTCATTTTTATGACTTTGCTAGCTATTGTTTTTTTTTATTCAATTAAAAACAATTCAGTTAAATTATTAAAATACAGTACATACAAATGATAGAAATGGGTGGATAATTTTTAGATTTAACAGTGCAGAAGAGGATTTTTTTTTTGTTTCTGCAACTAAAGTCAATTTTTAAATTACAAATAGTCCCAAAATGTTATTAATGCACTTAACAGCTTATTTTTTGATTTCCGTGTGTTTGGAAGCTTAGGAAAGCTTAGAATCCATCCATAAATAACAAAAAAACACACCGGTCACATTAAAAAACAACAGCACAGACAACAATAAGTGACTTGAGACATTCATGTTTTCATGTTAAAATGTTGTGGTCTGTGAGTGTTTGTTAAACGGGTTAAGTGGTCCTCAGCCTGAAAAAGTTTGAGAAACATTGTTCTAAATCATCAAAGAAACCCACATAATCACACCTCCACCACCGTGCTGTCTGGGTGGTTTGACTTGTTTGTGTTGATGTTGTTTTTCCCGTTAAGGCCAACGTCTCTTCTTTGGTTTATCCGAACAATTCCAGATGTGTTGTGGTTCATTTACAATAGATGCAACTTAATTTTTTACATATTTTTGTTAAATAATGTTGAATGTGGTGTGTGTTTTTGCACATTTTAAATTTCATTAGAAGGATTATAATTTTGCGTAAAATAGGTTGTCATTAGTTTTTTTTTATTATATCGTAGCTTGTTTTTATAGGGAAGTAAAACCAGACTAAATTCATTAGCAGGCATACGGTGTAAAACATTGCCATAAAAATATGCTTTTGTCCCTTTAAATGCTCACTGTTAATGTTTATTAGATAAAATTAGTGCGTGGACGAATTAATCTAATGGGCAAATTAAAAAGATGATGAGTTTCCATAATTAGTTTCATAATTTCTTTGTTTTCCTCTTCTCTCTTGATGACTGTGTGTTACATAACGTGCACTTCATTTGCATTTTCTTTTAATTTTCTCCATTGAATTCTATTACTGGAGGTATTCTTCACACTAATCCATAGTTATCAGTTTTCTCACAGTTAGAGATCATGTGTAGGTGTTAAGTTGGAGATCAGTTTAAGGGGAGAAAAATTACTTGTTCAATTAGGATAGAACACAATGGAACAACACCAACAAATGACCATCAGTGGACTTGAAGCAACATGGATTTTATATCTCGCTGCTCTTCCTGCAGACTCTGAGATCTTAATTTCCACATGAAATGTGGAAATGAATTTCCACATGAAACTTGTTTTATTAGTTTCTTAAGTTATTGTAAAGAAATTTGTCTTTAAAATAATTTCCAATTCTAGTTCAAGCTTCACTTGTCTGACAGATGGTCTCAGATTTTTCTAGAATACTTTTTACACAGAAGACTTCATGTTCAGCTCAGTTACTGCAGAGAGACAAGCCCAAATCATTGCACCTCCATCACTGTGCTTCATAGCTGGTATGAGGTGTTTCTACAGATATGTTGTTTTTTTTTCTCTTCATTTTGATCAGACATCTCTACTTGTCTCTTGTCTCTACATTGTTCTATAGGTTTTGGTTATTCAGGTGCAACTTTTTTAACCATCGTCATGTTTTATGTGGTAGCCGAGGCCTGTAGGGTCTGCTTTGAAGCTTTTGAGGTTTTTGCTGCTTCTCTGAACATCGCATGTTCTGAAGATGGGGTGCATGTGTGTGATGCCTGTTGTTGCACAGACTCCAGGTGCAGTACACACCTTGTGGATCTCCCATAAATTATTGAATGGTCTTTGCTTCACAAGCCCATCAAAGCTGTGTTTTTTCCCACCATAGTTTTTTCTTCAACTCAACTTTCCATTGACATGGTTGGATATAACAGCCAAGCTAACCCCTCATGTAGACACTCAATCCAACTTCTGCACTGACACAATAATATTTTGTTTTACTGTGTTGCAATATTCACATTTAAAAAGTGAAACTTAAAAATTTCAGTAGCTCTAAGCCAAAATCTTCAGTTATCAGAAATAAGCAATTTTTTTCAATTCTTGACTCACTGAAATCTATTATTTTACAGTTATATAGTAATTTATTAAACTACATCTTTATTTTATCCTTAAAAGTCCGCATAAGAATACTAATCCTTCAGTGAGTTTATTCAGGAGATGGTTTTTAAACTCCGAGTGAGAAAGCAGGGAAGTTATCATCAGAGCAAATAAGTGTCTCAAAAGCTATTCCTAATTGTGTTTGACCTCTGAGCATTGCACATGCTCAGTCGGCATCGCAAACGTAACGGCAATTTGCAGCCAACTATTATGTGTGAAATGAGAAGCCGTGGCGGTCTGTGCCCTGCATGGTAATAGTGTCTGCAAGCTGCCTTTGTGAGAAAAGGTCTATAATCTACCTAAATAGCTGCTTTACTTACACCATGTCTCATCAGCAGGACATGGGAAAGAGCAGTTTTCCTTCTTATTTCTCTGAGATTCGGAGCGATGACTGGAAGGGAGGAAAACAGGTGTAAGCAAAAATAAGATTTAAAAATTCATCCAAACTGGATCTGTCACCTGAACCTGTGAAAACCCAGACAGGCTGTGGTTGTTTTGGTTTTTTTATGTTGGATTCAGACCTACATCAGCAGTCTGCTTGGCTGTCAGCAGGCTGATAAAAGTGAGATTGTCTTTATTCTATGGAGCTTTTTGGGTTGTCAGGAACCACGGCGTCTCTATTCCCTTTGAAGGATGCAACAATCAGCGTTCTGGAAAGCTATGGGATCATTTGACAAACAGTCCTGTTATGTAACCGCTGTTGTCTGGAAAATTCTGCATATCGAAAGGTCTGCAAGAGCAACACTTTTTTTTTTTTGGTTACTATTAGTTTTTTGTGTGCACTGATTAAAATACTCAAAAACACAGAATGCTGCTGGGTGACTGTTCTAGAAAATTTTCATCTGGGAAACACTGAGATTTATCTATTAATGGAGTTTTTGTCTTTTGTTATTTGAAGGTGTCATTTTTTGGTAAATCTGTATTTTCTTTTCCCCAAAATTGCACTCACTGGGTTTCCATAGTTAAGAGTGATGTCAGTGCATCCAGGGCAGCCATCTTGTTTCACAGCTTCTATTTATTTGGACATTGAATTCAGGTCATCTCCTCACAGAAGTATTTTAAATAATTAAAATTTCTTTTTCCAGCCAATATTGAGTTATTATGGTAATTTCACCCCTGCTGCAGCAGAGGGTGAAATTTACTCACAGGATATTTTAAATTAAAATAAGCAAAAATATACAGGCAGACATTTGAAACTTTGGTCTTAATATAGGGTTAAAACAATGTTTTTTTTCCTGGTAGAACAGTGTCTTTATTCTGCTAATATGACAACATTCTTGTAATTCACAATACTCCATCATACAGCTCACTGACAAGATGACTGAAGTAACATCCACTTTTTGAAAATACTTTTCAAAAAGAGAAAAAATAGAGTGTAATCAACGAAAATCAGATCTGTCGTGAAAAAGTCATATCGCCCAGCCCGACCGATAAAAGAGTGAGGCTGTGTGCCGACCTTGCGTCCTGGACACACAGATAGCCTCTGTCCCGGCGCTGTGCCGCTCGGCTGCCGCCCTCCGGCCTGTGTTCGTGTCTCACTCTGGGAAGTGAAAAGCAGACGCTGGCAAGATACCTTCCTGCCATCGCTGGTGCCAGTGCAGGACGGCTCTCTGCCCACAGAGGGATCGTTCTGAGCGGGACTGTGCTTAATGTGTGTGTGAGTGCTGCGTTTGGCAGAAGACCTGGACGCCGGGGTGTTCTCAGGCTGTTTCCGAGTCCGCTTTCCCGGCCCTGTGTGCGTGCTTGTGTGTGTGCGTGCAGGCTTTTATTTCAGGGTGTGTGTGTTTGTACCAGCTCTGCGGTGGGTCATGACTCAAAGGAAGGATTCAGAACACACGGTTCTGAACTCAACAGAAGGCCCGAGGGACAAATACAACTCAGCGCAGCACTTTTTTTTACCTCTCTGTCGTTCTCTCTTACAATCCGTTCATTATCGCTTTTCTCTTGCCTTCATCTCCGCTCCCCTTTCCCTTACTGTTTACTTATTTCCTGTGTGGATCTTCATGTGTACTTCTGTTAAATACGGCCAAATAAAAAATTATTTGAAAGATCTGATTTGGAGGTAAGAAATCTAAAACAAAATCAGATAACAAATTTTAAAAGTATTTGAAGCTATCATTTAAATCAGAAAATCAACTTCTTTGAAGTAACGTCAATCATTGTTTCAAGGCACATCTGTAGAAACAAAAATATCTTAGAAAGTAATTTTTTTCAGTACTTCAATTAGTTAAGTTTAAGTGTGTATCACATTTCAGCAACAAGGAAGTTCAAAGTGCTTTCAATTGTTAAAACATCACCAATTATTAAACAAGTAATACACATTACGTTTTGTCAAATTTATCAAGCAAATATGAATCAAATATCTTGATCAATGTTCCAATCTAACTCCGTTTGGTCTTGATTTAAAGGAACTCACCTTTTCCAGCTCAGTTTCTAGTGGAGCATAGAAACTGGAAGCTGCGTCTCCATGTTTGGTTCTGGTTAAACAAATGAAGCTCATAACGTCTAAACCCAGCCCACTCGATGCTGCCCACACAGGGTTCCCACATGAGGCACCAGGCATGATGGGTCACTTGTTCTGAACCAGAGTAAATCTAGACTCATCAGTTCCCATGACCTTCTGTTTAACAAAACATTTAAGTGATCACCGCTCACAGGATCCTTGCAGATTTTAATAATGCATTGGACAGTTCTCTCTCCAGTTTCAGTTTTTTCTTTAATCGACCTATAGTTTTTTTTTTTTTTGCTTGATGCCGGTGATTTGACTGTTCTAGAGTTCTTGTATATATCTTTCAGCATGGTTATTTAAGAAATTAATAGCGACTCATTGCAGAGGTTGCAGCTAAAAGATAATCGCCCATGCAGTGGGGGATTTGCTTGGTCAAATGCAGGTGGTGACTTTTATTTGGCCAGGCAGTATATGTTAGGTTTTGCTAAAAATCATGTTTTATTGGTCTTATGTAATATTTAGACTTTTTAAAAAACTGAAATTGTTGTCTTTGACTAACAGATTCTCCAAATATGTCACTCTGTATCTCCAGACTCTGAGTTTCTGTTTTGATAGTAAGATTTTTTTTTCAGTGCTCCTGTAACTACAAAAAGCACAAGCCTTCTTTTTCACCATAATAAATGAATCCTTTCTCTCTTCATCGCAGAGTAACTGTGGGGAGGTGCTGCGTATCCGCCGGGTTCTGATGAACTCACCAGAAATCGTGTCCATCGGGCTGGTGTGGGACTCGGACCACTCTGACCTAGCGGAGGACGTCATCCACAGCCTGGGAACCTGCCTGCGCCTGGGAGATGTAAGAGGCTCACTCGGCACGTTGCACACGTTTCGTTGTCTCCAATAACTATTAACATAATGCCCATGTGGCCACATAAGCAAATCCATGCAAGCTGATAGATACATGTGTATAATACTGCAGTAGAAATGCAAAAACACAGCAATTTGTGAATGTGAGTCAAGTACGTTAATGTCTGTAGTTGTAGGTTTAGGCTGTGTTTGTGTCTGACTGCAGGAGAAATTAACCATCTAAGTTTTAGCTGCTTTACGATCTGCAAATAGCTTTCTGCGTAAAGATTCTGAATGTTTTTTCCAGAATATGGACCATCTTTCCAATTTATATTCATAAACACTTTGATTGCAGCATAGGGAGATCTTTGGTGTAATTGATTACCCTTTCTGGAGCTGAATTTTGGCCTCTGAATGAAATAAATAAAACATTTTTGGGGGTTTAAAGTACATGCATAATCAAATTTCAGGGTCAGAAATCTGACAAACTGACATGAAATAAATAGATTGCCCTTTTCCCAGTCTTACAAATCAGCATCATTTTAAAACATATTTCTGAAACAAAAGTACAATGGAATAGTTTGACAAAAGTTATGACAATAAGAAAAGCCATATGTTATGAGAATGACATTGTATGACAAAAATTGTCAATACTTTAAAAGCATAAAGCCGTATGATAATAAAGTTAAAATAATACAAGATCAAAAATATGAGAATAAAGTTGTCATTATGACTTCATTCTCGTACTATTTTCTCTTGTGTGTTTTTTTCTCATACGTTTAGGAACATTCTTTTTACCAATCATTAGCTGTAGCAACGTTTTGTCTAAATATTTTCCTATCTTTCTTACAACACATGTTGCATTAGCTTTAGGTACTTTTTTAGGGTAAAAATATATGCAAAACTAGCTCTAGATGTTTGTTTTTTTTTAGTATCTGAGTGGCGAAACAGCTTTTGCTCTCAGAATGGTATTTTAGGTTATTGCAGAGAGCAGCTAAACCCTCATGAGAGAAACTGAATGCTGTCATCATTTCTGATGATATTCAGTGCTCCAAATCATCATTCTTTAAGTTTTATCTGTGTTCATGATTCTCTATTTTTGTCTAATAATTTAACATAACTACCATAAACTATAATACTAAGCAAAGCTATAAAGGAAAGGCTTTAAAATGATACTAAATGTCCTTTTAGAGCTATGATATAGGTTGTGAGAGAACCAAACTGTAGAGATTTAAGTATATATCTGTGCTTGTTTAAAATGGATTTCACTTTCTGACAAAGTAAGCAAGAACTTTATCTCCTTGCTAAAAAAAGCAAAAGATTGATAAAAATAAATAAATAAATACTGGATGGCAATGAAATTAATGTGACATATGGCAGCAAAAATGAACACTTGGTGGGATTTATTGCAAAACACAGAAGACTTTAGAAACAGTGAAGTTTTAAGCCAGTAACATAAGGTTTATAAATAATTATAGTTTTTCATTCTGAAGCTAGATCAGTGAAACTTTTGAACAGGAGGTATGCAAATGAGTTTTTCTGCTTATAGTAAAAGCGAGCAGCACAAACATTTAAGAAAACAAAACACACTTAAATCTTTAAAGGTTATGTTCATTTGAAACTAATATATTTCCTTTTTTTATCCTCTTTTTCAGTCAGAGGCTGATTGGTTGTTCTGATTTATAAACTCTACTAAGCTAATAGGCAATTGAACGTTCATAACCTACAAATATAAACACAAAGGTAAATAAACATCATGCTGCAGCTTTCATTTTAAATAAAAAACAACAATTATTCCCACTGATGCTGAGATAATCAATAACTAACAGCCAAATTATTGTTTAGACTGGATAAAGGTGCTGTACTCTGCTCTCAGGCAGCTGACTGGCAGTGTGTGGCAATTGGAGGCAGCTCTTTTTACACTGTGTGACTTTGTTTTCCATATAGTAATATGGAAAAAATGTCTTGCTCAACTGGCAGGTTATTTCACTTGTAGTTAGTACTTTTTCATCAGTAGGGAATTACTGACTTAAAACAAGCTCCTATGTTGTACTTAAAAGTTACTTGTGAGTTTGTCTTATTTCAAGTATAATAAGACTAAACAAGACTAAAAATACTTGGTAAGATTTTGTGTTTTTGCAGTGCATAAAGCACATACACAGATAAATAAATACACAGATTTGAAGTCCTGAATGTGCAGGGTCAGTCTCTTTAAACCAACTGGAAAATCGGCGAATGAAGAAACATGCAGAAAAACGCCGGATTTGCAAGCATCTTATTTTTCCTGTGGGTTTTTACTCTGCTCTCAAACACCCACTCACCTCGCAAGTTTGACCTCTGATACTCCGTGTCATACCTGAGTAATGTCGATGCATTTTAATGCAGCTGCAATGTCTCCAGCAGCATTCTGAAATGATATGTATGAATAATGGATTAGTCAACATGAATATGTGTTTTAGTGAGTCAAGTTTTTTCCTCCTTCTTCATATTCTGTCTCTTCTCCTTTCCCTCGTTTTCATCCTGTGGTTACGGGATGAAACCTAGCAGTTGGGTACAAATCTGAGGAATCATCTATTGAATTTCTCTCTTATGTTTAGCAGTTAAAAGGGAATCCATCTGCCTCTCGTTTCCCATCTCCTCCCGCCACAGTCTGCCTGTCTTCTGCACCTGTTTCCCAAAAACACTTCTATGCTCTTTTATTCTTTAGATTGGATCATTTTGCATCTCAAACAAATAGTCTGCCATATTAAATAGATTTTTGATTATCCATTATTACTATGAGTCATCTAGCAAATAAAAAGGAGAAAGCATTCTGGGTGCAGCTGGTAAAGTCTTAGCTCCACTCTATTCTTGCAAAGTGACTTCTCCAGGGTTTGCCAGGAAAAAGATTGATTTGCACTGTGAAAATTATTTTTTGACCTTTCAAGCACTAATGAGTTGCAGAACTGAAGCTTGCAGCCTGTGTATTCAGGCTATATGAAAGTACTATTAAAGCTACTAACCAGACTTTTGTGAAGTCAATGGAACTGGAGGTGAACAAGTTTCAGCTTGAGGCCTTTATCAGAGCAACAAAGTACGACGGCATCAGGGCCATTGTAGATTTGGCAAAATAGCTCTGAAATTTAGAGATTGATCTAATAATTTTTCTAGAAAAAATTCAGAAAATTTCAAAGAATTAATCTCAAAGTTTCTTGAGTGTTTTTGGGTACAAATGTACTCCTTTTGTCTGTCTGCAGTGTTCATAATATGCCGTTGTACCAGATAGTTTGTTTTTACATATGAAAGTACCAATTCAAATGAACCATTCACCCACTTACAAATAAACATGCTGACCAGTCATCTTTCAGGAGGATGGTAAATGCTGACTGATGCAGTCAAATAGGTTCTTCAGATTTAAAGGAGGGAATTACCTCATAGATCTAAAACTAGTGCAAACCCAGAGGTATAAAGGAAAGTGCAAATAAATATAGCAATCACAAGTACTCTAAATTACACTTTGCATGCTAATAAGATTTTTGACCTTTTGGATGGAGTCTCACTGCAGTAGATGCAGCTTACTGATGCAGATAAAATGGCCAAAGATCATAAAATTCTTAGAGAATGATAGATGCAATGATATCCCATTTCTATTCCCAATTTTGAAATGTTTATCTGTGTACCAGTGGTAGATTGTGTCTGTTTGTGGAGAACAGTCTGCTGTTCTTAGCCATTGCACCTTGATTTAATGTGAGAGGCTGTTTTAGCACCTGATATTCTGCCAGACTGTCAGGCCCGGTAAACTAAATTGCAACGTTTGATACATTTTCAGCTCGCGCGGTTTGCTTTCACACTGCTTCATCAAAACAATCCAAACCTGTTCCTCCCTCACCGCGGCGCTAAGAGCGACTGAAGAAAATGACATGAAAACCTCAGAAGACATGAGGTTCCATCTTTACAAACAAAAATAGAGTAGCGTCAGATTTTGGCAGTTGTAGGATTTTCTCTTTTGTCTTTGTCAACATATCACAACTATTAGCCTTAGACACTGACGTTTGTTTTGGTTATATTTACCCAGAATGCTCTGTGCTGTAGTTCACCTCCTGCTTTTGTAGCGGTCTCTGGTCACTTGCACCACATTACGCATTCAAACCGCGCCAGTGTTCACTTCAACCGACCCGAGATAGACACAGTTCACTTTTTTGGTCCGCATCAGAGTTGGATTGCGCATTCACACTTCCCTAAACAAACCGGACTTTCTGGACAAACAAACTAGACTTGATTTAAAGCGCATTAAACAGGACTGGTGTGAATGCACCTAAAGCGTGAAGCACAAAGTAGTGTATATTTGTGAGTGGAAGGAAAAAAAAACACAACTTCAGAAGGTCATGTTCCAGTTTTGTGCATCCATTCTGCTTTAAAAGCTGCAGTTGCGTCGTGTTGCACGGTTCAGTTTTCGTACAGTTTGCAAGAAACTTCTCAGATGCAGTCCATCTATTAGGTGAGCAAAATGTCCTTGTTTTCATATTAACTCCTGTTCCCCCCCACCCCTTCACTGCCACCCCTCCTGCTATGGCACACCTCTCCCCTGATGTCCCCCCTCCCCTCCTGTCTGCTCCCTCCTGCTCCTCCTCTTCCTCTATCTCTCTCCGTAGTTGTTCTACCGTGTGACAGAGGAAAGGGCTCGCCAGGCGGAGCTCTACTTGGTGGGCATGGTGTGCTACTACGGCAAGCACTACTCCACCTTCTTCTTCCAGACCAAGATACGCAAGTGGATGTACTTTGACGACGCCCACGTCAAAGAGGTGAGACCGTTTTTGTCTTTCTTTGGGAGGGTGTTCTCATGGCGCAGAGTGAGGAGGCTGCACGGTATGGCATCTGCTGCATCCTCAGCAGAGCCGGTGAGAGCAGAAAGGACAGAAACTCTGCTGTGTCTTAGTTGGAGTGCTGCATGGCCTGGCTTTTTGCTTTACTGAGGAACCTGAGAGAAAAAAAATGGTGGTGGAGTTTTATTTTGGGGATTTATTTTAGGCTTAGCTTTTGTAATCTAGGCTTTTCACCTGTTCTAATATTTTGTGCGTTAATTGGAGCAAGAGTTTTAGCGCAAATGGAGACATCCTTGACTCTTTTATCAGTCACTATTTCACACTGTTTATCACATTAGATGATTGAGCTAATGACAGAGTGTGACATTATGATTTAATCTGCCAGGACACGCATCAGCACAGACTCTGTTTGACCTTCTAATTTTTGCTTTTGCACAAAGTTCTACCCAAATTCAGACAGACGTATTCCTACCTTTTCTATGTCTGTCTCTCCTTTGATGCATGTGCTCCCCTGCTGCATCTCCAGATCGGCCCAAAGTGGAAGGACGTAGTGTCTCGCTGTATTAAAGGCCACTACCAGCCCCTGCTGCTGCTCTATGCTGACCCCCGTGGGACGCCGGTGATACTGCAGGAGAGCCCCAACCCTTGTACTGGCTCCAACCCACAGCTGGAGCTCCAGCACTGCAGCAGCAAGGCTGGTTACGACAGTGAGGACTCAGGTACAGCAAAGACTAACACCCTGCTCCACATAGGGTGGGATTATTTTGCCTTTATCAGCTGCTTGCATGAGATGATTCACCTGTATATGCTCTGACCTTCAGTGCTATGATCTAACCTCTGCATGTGTTTGCTGCTGGAGACTAGGCTTGTTTGACTAGAAAATAGGCGGTCTATGTGCAGTAGCACCTGAAAGTGGTGGTCTCTCCTTTTGTCTTTCAGGTCGGGAGCCATCGATATCCAGCGACACACGCACCGACTCGTCAACGGACAGCTCGAGCCACCGCACGTCCCGCAGCCGACCCCTGCATCAGTCCACGGGCAGCCGGCTCTCCAGCGAATCCCAGACCACAGTGGTCTGTAACTACGACTCGCCGCCGCTCGGTGCTGACGCTGGAGGTAAAACTACAAAAATAGAGGCATGTTATCACTCTCAGAATCTCTTTGTATTTGTACTAAGTATCTTTTGGGTTAAAATCTCATCATCCATAGATATCATTTGCTCTTACGATAATTTGAAGACTTACCCTATTGACTCTAGAGTCAGGAAACCTTCCACTTTTTCCCATTTTGTGATTTTACAAACACAAACTTTACTGTACTTCACTTATGTGGTAGCCTAACACAAAGTAATGCATTTTGGTTTTTCAGTTTTTTAAAGTGACCTATTATACTTCCTTCAACAAGTTAGGATGAGTCTATACAAAATATGTTCATTACATTATTTTGCACAAAATTATTCCTATATGATGAGATTTTAGTCTTCTCATTTCTGTCAGGTCTTCTGTTACTTTAAATCCAAATAAGATGCTGCTGGCCACGTCCTCCAACACTTTTAAGTAAAACTGGCTGCAAACAGATGCGCAATTATAGAACCTTATATCTTTGAAAAGCATTGGTAGAGCCTCCTGCACAATCAAAAAGAATACACCTAGTGGTTTCTGGATGATGAGTCAACAACAAAACCCTTGTCTTTGCCAGCAGCCATTGTAACAGCAGTAAAACCAGCTGAACAAATGTGTTGGAGCTCATAAGAGCTCATTTTCAAGATACCAAAAACAAAACCTTTTTGCCCAAAAATGACTGGGTAGTTATTTTCTTAAGCACTTGGGCTGTCTTTAGAAGCAGTTAAGACCCATATGGAAATATGAAAATGTGCTAAATGTTAATTTTGCATAATAGGTCCCCTGTAGCAGAAAAATCACACTACTATGTGGTGCAGTTGCACTGTTGTTTTATTAAAGTACATCAAGGTTTCAAGTTTCAATGTGAGAAAATGAAAAAAAGTATTTAAAAGAGTTATTAATATTTTAGCATTCGACTGTGCATGACAATTTGAATAAGCTGCTGTTTGGGTTAACATTGAAATAACACACATTGCATTGTGGATTTAATTAAGAGCAACCAAAGGTCAGATTGTGTTGTTCTTCTTCTGTGTCATCACTGCAGATTCTTCAAGTTGTATAGCTCATTGGTGTAAATTTCCACATTTATTTGCACTGCTGCCTGCATAATTACTCCCTGTGGAATAAATAAAACTCTTATTGGTTTTACTTGCTCCTCCTTCCCTCCCTTTTCTCCCACGCTCAGAGTCAGCAGTGGAGGCTCCAACCTGCCACCCCTCTCCTCCCCTGCAGGAGACGGCAGTCTTCCTCCTGTCTTCACGCAGGCCCCTCACCTCCTCCTCCTCATCCTCTCGCCCCCTTTCCTCCTCGTCTTCTTCAGGAGTCGGGGGCTGCGAGGGCGGGGCTGGGGGGCCCCACTGGGAGGATGAAAGCACGAGCAGTGAGAGCAAATCCAGGTAAGGCAAGGCTGTTTTGATTTAATTCTTACGCCTAATCTTATGTGTTTCACTATCTCTGGGATCAGAGCCTCCCTGTTGTTTCTGTGCTTTAGGACTAAAATGCTCTGCATGGAAACAACATTTTCTCTGTTATGATATTTATTTGATTTGCATGTCTTTAACAATCATAAAAAACACTACAAAAGTGTTACATTTTTCAATTTAATATATTTTACCATCACAATGGGTATTAAAAGGTTTTTGTGACGTAATAGAATGAGACCAAAGTAAATCATTTACATTTTTTTTATACATATAATGTGACATTTATCCTTGAAATTACTACTGAAAGGCAAACAAGTGTAAGTTGTAAACTTATGACATGTTGAAGCACCTTTTAAATTAATTTCAGCATTCTGTCCACTTGAGTTTTCCTTGTATCGGCTATCAATTATATTAAATTAACCAGAAAAACAGTTCACCTGTATTTCTAGGACACAGTCCTGAAATGTTAACATATAGAGCAGTTGCTGCCAAAGTTTTTAAAAAAGGAGGTGCAAAGTTATGATTCTCCTCCCATTTTTTTGGGCCTAAAGAAAACTTCCTGCAGCTAAGCAGATTCACAAAGACTAAATCAAATCTTATTGTACTTTTTTTTTTTTGCAAGAGAGAAAAAAATAAATATAAAAATAGCTTAATTTTATTCAAACAAAAAACTTTTTTCAGGTGCTTGTCGGGGCTAAAAGAGCTGTAGAGTGCTCAGAGTGTGATTTATGCTGAGGAAGAGAGAGCGAGTTTTTTTTTTACAATAACACACCTTAAACCTTTGCTGTAGCTAGGTAACAAGTAATACTTGAAATTTTCTAAAAATAAAGCACATATATGTGAAGCCATGCACTGTAAACATGAGCCAGTCTGAGTTGATCATAATTTGATGCTTTTCTGCAAACATTTAAAAACAAACATTTATGATCTTGGTTTTATGTCAAGTGGAAAAGCAATAATTATTCCTCTTTCTGCTAAAATAATATAAAATCTTGGATATTCAATCCATATCCAGCCACTTTCTTCCAACAGGACATTGAGATACTTAAACATGAACCATGGCCTCAGATATACTGAATATTACAATTTTTATTTTTGTTATCTGTATTGACTATTTTCACCTTAAATATTTTGAGGTGAAAACCGTCTTATGTTAGCAACAAGGTAACAACAACATCCCATAGCTAAAGCCTTGATTTGTAGAAAGATGGCTTTTGTTTTCATAATGCAGAAATCATAAGCTATATGTACTCATTATGGTACTAAAAACTAACATAGTACTGCTAAGTAATATGTTATGGCTGTTTCAATTACTTTTTATGATAATTCAAAGTTCTTAGCAGAACTAAATCAGACATTTTTAAACTGCAAGTCTTTCCTGCCTCCTCGGTTTGTCTGGTTAATTATTTGATAGTTTAATATATTCAATGCAATACTTCATTTTCAACTTAAAAGTTGCATTGACATGTAATATAGCATGATTATATTAATTTAAACATAGGACAGTAAAGACGATTTCACCTTCAAATGTATGCTTTTTGTTGTACGATGATTAAATACCTCAAATATTTCTTCGTGGTTTTACAGTGACCTGTATCAAAATGTCTTGAAAAGCAAGAAATGAAGCAAACACATAAATAAAGTTACAGACCAATGATATGTGAAAGTATCCAGCATATCCAACATATGGCTCTTTTTATGAAGTAAATGCTGTTCTGCTGCTTGTTCTCTGCAGTTTAATTACCTCCTCCTCACTGCCTACGCCTGCATTAGCATTTGGATTCTGAATATAGATGTGAACTTTGAGTCTCTCTTCAAATATGCACTCATACTCATCAGATTTTATGTAATTCCTCAATTCTTTGAACCATATTAATGAAGCGATATTGCATAAATGCGTATTAATGCTTAAAGATTATGTTCACGAGTTCCTACACGGCCTGGAAAGTCTGAAATTTGATTGATATATTTTTCATCCATCCAAACATACATACCAGATAAGCCAGAAGATAGAACCTTGACACAGCTTGACATATAAAAAGTCTTAACTGGATTAGTTTTTACTTTTACCTAATTTGTCATGAGTTTGACACAAGTGATTTCTAGTATGTAGAAATACATACATTCAGTTTCTGATTGAGACAAGGACTATTTGCAAAAATAAGGAACCCACATTTCTAGGTGCTTTTTGGGGACGCAAAAGCATCACCTTACATTTTGCAAAGCATGTAGAAAATGTATAGAAGCCAGATTATTTCCTTTGTTTGTCAGAGAATGCTTTGGCCTACTTTGACCTATGCTTTGACATGTAACTTATTGCATTTTCTACAGAGTTCATAATTCTCGTAATTTCTGTCCCGGTTGTCCTTTTTAACAAACAATTTAACCCCTAAAGTGAACCTCACCTCACACTTCTAATCATCCACATTGTTTGCTCTAGTTCCTCTGGAAGCCGCTACCGGCCAACCTGGAGGCCCAGGAGAGAGGCCCTAAACATCGACAGCATCTTCACCCGACAAAGAGACTCCCAGCTGGGCTACAGTGCTGCACCCGGCTTGTCTCTCCCCGCTGAGCCCCAGCAGCCTCTCCCCTTTGTGGGAGCTGCCACACAACCTGGACTGGAGGACGTGGAACGGAGGGAGATTGGGGAGGTCGGGTTTGGGCTGGTTGGGCAGCCCAGGTCTTCAAGCGGCGGGCGGACTATGGTTCCTCCTGCTCCTCCACCTCTGAGAGGGGTGGAGCACCAGCCACGTCTGATCCAGAGAATGGAGAGTGGCTACGAAAGCAGTGAGAGGAACAGCAGCAGCCCTGACAGGTACGACACGCACAAATACCAATTACTGTCTCTGGCTCTCAGCTACTGTTGTCCATCATGTTTCCCTCTTGTGGATTCCCTTGCTTCTTTTCAGTCCAATTGCAATTTATCAACATGAAACATAAATGTGACATTAACAAGAACAAATGATCCAAAAGAGGTGCTCCGTAACAAACAATTAAACCCCAAAGACATCAATCTGCTTGAATTCTCTCATTTATCAGCATTTTCCCCTTTTACGCCTGAATTTCTTGCTATTTTCACCCTTTCTGCTTCCAAACAGGGAGGTGGGGCAACACAAACGGGTGCTGATGTCTGGACCTTCATGGCGTTCGGTGCCCAAGTCAAAGAGCAGCGGTGCTATTATGCAGGAGCTGCCTCATCCCTGCTGGGTCAGCAGCTCTGACACAGGTCCGCCCTCCTACATGTAGTTACACGCAGCTTCTTTAGGTGCGACCAGTTGTTTATTTTATGTTATTCTGTTTTTAGGCTCTGGGCGCAGTGAACTGGATGAGCTGCAGGAGGAGGTGGCCAGGAGAGCCCGCCAGCAGGAGCAGCAGAAGCGGAAGGAGGCGGAGCGGGAAGCAGCCAAGGGGTTCAACCCCAGACCCAGCAAGTTCATGGACCTGGACCAGCTCCAACACCAGGGTACGGATAAAACAACCATTAGAGCATGGCTCAACTTTTCTGTACTTACAGGTGACCTATTATGGTTCCTTGAACAGGTTAGCATAGATCTCTGGGTGGTACAAAACATTTTTTGCTCAAAATAATTTTTGGATAATGGAATTTTAGTCTGGTCAGGTTTAGCCAATTTGAGTTCCTGTTTTTGTGAGCTATTTCAGAGGCTCTTGTCACTTAAAATCCAAATAAGCTGCTGTTAGCCACTCCCCCTAACTCAACATTTACATTCCCATGCGAAAATGACTCCAAATAATTGTGTAGTTACAATACAACCACAGATTTTTGAACAGTACAACCAACAAGAATATAGCAATAGCAAGTGGTTTCTTGATGGTAAGTCAACAACAAAACACTTGTCTTTTCCAGCAGCCATTGTACAGCGCACACAGCTGTGAAACCAGCTGACCAAATGTGCTGAGGGTTGCTTGGCAACCTAGCTTGAGTTGCTAGGTAATGGCGCACTACCCATGAATTGTGATTTAACATTTGGGAAGCTTTTGAAATGGCTGATTTTCTAGACACCAAAAAATCTAAACTTATTGCCGAACAATGGCTGGATGCTTGTTTTTTTTTTTAAGCGCTTGGACTGTTTTTAGAAGCAGGTGTTACCCAAATGGCAGTAGAAAATCATGCAAATTGTGAATTTTGTATAATAGGTCCCCTTTAAGTAAGTACTCTGTAAGTACCCCATTAGTGGACAGTAAGTACATTGCAGTAAGTCACCACAAAATGCTATCAATGAGCTGCAAAAGGATTTTTTCTCACCATAAATGGATGATTTCAAACTCTCATCTTATCCTGATTTGTAAATGCGCCGTGCAGAAGGTCATATGCCTCCACTGAGAGAAGAAGGCTAAAAGTTTTATATTTTCAGAAAAAAAAAAATAAGTTAGGGGAAACAAGTATAAAAATCTATCTTAAATTTTACATCTCTGCAGATATGCTGTAAATAACATTGTATGGTTGGTCTACTCCGTTACCATTAGGCTCCACATAGGTACACTGTTATTTAATGACCCTGTATGCTGCAAAAAAGTAAATAATTACAAAGCTATGTTGTAAGTAATCACTCCAAAGGTACCTTACTGGTACCCTAAAAGCCCTCTGAAGTACCCATATTCATACATTTGCACCCAATAAGCACTTCATTAATGTCCTTTAAATAGCTGGTATGTACAATGTGTAGGAAATATGATCTCTCATTTTCTGGTGAGCTTTATTCATTGTTCAGACCTAAATCGAGACAGTGAATCAAGATAGAAAAATGCATTTTAAGATGTGGTCACCTGTTGTCTGGTAAGCCGTCAGAGTGACTTGTTTGACTTTCGTCTGACCTCATTTTTGGGCTCCATCTGTCTCTTTGTGGTAATTTTGCTTTTTCCATGTAGCCAAGGAGTATCAAACTAGGTGTGAGCATTTATTTATAATTTATCATGATGAATTTCTTATCATAAAAAAGTTGATTTATTGTTGTATGAGTAAATCAATGAATTCCAATTAATCAAGTCTAACCTTCTGCAAAAATATTGGCAGGATTGTTAATTTCTACTGTTTGTTCAATGAGAGTATCAATAACTTTGAAAATTAGTTTAAATATAAATCACATTTCTTTATATGCCTGGTGTTGTAAAGAATCAAATAGATATGCTATTCAGCAACATTATTTGCGTTTCTGGGGCCAGGATTGGTGTGTTGTGCAGTCACAGCCATATAAAAATGAATAGAGTTTTTATAATCTCAAAATATCATGATAAAACTTGAAGTCAACATCGCCCATCCATAAAGAAAACTACAGTCAATCATTTTTAGCCAATTGCTACAAGACCTTTAATGACCAGAAAAGTGTTCAAATATTGTCTTTATTATTCCGATTTCAAATCCCACTTAATTTCAAATTTCCAATTTCTCAGTCAAGTTATACAAAATACTAACTGTCCTTCCAAATAGTAGATATAGCCCAACCTCAGTGGAAAACAAGGCCTAGGTGTGTGATTCTTGGCTTCAGTAATTTTACATTCTTGGGTAAACTTCCATCAAATCAGAGAGGAATAATAAACAACTTATTGCAATAGTGGTATAATTTCCTTTGTGACCCAGGAGGACACAAAAGTTCCACCGTAATGATAGCCACTCTGTTAATTAATTTGGGACCACAAAGTTGTAGGAAAAATGTGGTGCTATTGATTTGAAGGAATTTACCAAGTGGAAAGAATGTACAACCTGATGCAGAAAGATAATGCAGTGTAAAACACAGTTGGGTAAGTTAATGTTGTTTTATTGATCTTGATACTACTACTTTACTTTTAAATCAGATACTCAGGCTACGCCTTGAACATTGGAGTGCATGCTTTACATAGAATGATTCAATTACCTTCATAATAATCAAAATCAATTGTATGTTGTTCCAGGAAACAATGTACATTAAGCTTAAAAGCATAAAGAAATGAACATATAAATTTAATACATAAAAATTGTAAAAGATAATAAAATACAGTAAAAAAATAGTTAGTGTCTAAGCAATAGCTATTCCTCACTAATTCACTAAATCAGGGGAAATATCATTGTTAAAAAGTGAAGCACTATTATATCATGTTAAGAAAAAAATTAACGATTAAAAACAAGTTTTCTAGTGTTTAAAAAAACTATACCTGATTTTTTAAAAGGTTTTTTAGATGTTAAAACAATATTAAAACATCTTTTTTAATTGGCATGGTATAATTAGGCCTGTTATGATAACAACTTTTACTGAATGATGAATTCAGTAAAAGTGGTTACTCTAAATTTCAAAAATTTAAGATTAGGTAGATTTCAAAAATATATTCCAACGGGTCATCAGTGTAACCATCGTTTCTCACCATGTAAATTTGAATGTTGGTGTTTTAACCATTTCAATCAGCTTAAGATTTACTTAATACATTCCTGTTTGTGTCATGTCTGTCCTACTGCGGGTGCAGCAGTGTGTTCAGCTTTATGCACCTGGTACTGTGCACATACACACACACACACACACACACACACACACACACACACACACACACACACACACACACACACACACACACTACAGTTCAGTACAGGCAGCCTTAATGAGTGGAAAGGACAAGTTGTGAACAAACAGATGGCATTCCTGTCAGCACGGTTATGTAACAGAATTTGGGTTCGACACATCTGTATCGATGACTGAGCCAGACTTTAATCTAATATCATACTTTAAGGGACGGCAGAGCCATCATCAAGCCTCCATTATTCCTCCCTTAGAAGCAAGGATGTTAAAATGCCACAGTCCTGCAGCAGCAATGCATCAACAGGACGACACCGGCCAGTAAACCACTCAAATCAACAGACGGGCTGCAGATTAATAGCATTTATGTTGGCGTTGGGTTCACTTTTTCCATGCAAATTAGCAAATTGCAAACAAATCTAATGTTTATTGTTTAAATTTTAAAATTTTGATTTTTTTTTTAAAAACGTGGATTCATTAAGGCAAGTTTATTTGTATAACAGGAAAAAATACACTAAATATAAGCAATATATAAAAGAATCAAAAAAATGTTTTAACATGTAGATAACTAAGATGAGAAAGATTAAATAAATGTTGCCTTTATGGGAAGGTTGTGTTTACAGTATCTTAAGCCTTGAAATTTTCTGAACATTTCAAAATTTAGACAGTTTGCTCCAGAGCTGAAGAACATGCAAGCTAGATGTGGTTTCCTCCTCTGTTTTGGTTCTGGAAATACTGGGTCCCAACGTCTCAGATGACCCGACGGTTCAGAACCGATATTCAACTCTAAGATGCTTTTAATCCAAGAGCCTTCAGTGATTTATAGATTTGCCTGATAAACATATATTTATACAACATGTAAATGATCTAACCAACATGTAAATGATCTAACCTACTGAAAAAAACATGCAGGTTTCACCATGTCCTAATTTATCAGGAAAGCCTTTAACCTGGCAGCAAATTAAATATGTGAGTTGGCCTATTTAATATTAGACATTATTTAACCTTTATTTAATGTATCTTTGAGATTAACAATCTCTTTTAGAGAAGAGATGTGGCAGCAACACACTGACATTTACAAATCAAAACTACAGAAATCAAAACCCAATTAAAATACAACATAGATAATGAAGGAAGACCAATAACAAAGAGCAAATTCACCCATTGAAGTAAAAAGTAAACTAATGTGGTTACTCTCGTTTTCAAAAATATAAGATTAGATAGGTCTCAAAAATATATTCCAAGGGGTCAACAGTGTACGTAGGTAAGAAATAAGGGGAGCATGTAGATACTGAAAAGCATCCCTGAGGATCACCAAATGGGATTTATTCACTTAATTTATTAGTGTTAGTGCCAAATGACACTTATAAGGAAGATCTATAATATCTAGATTAGTCTGTATAATGAGATCTAGTAAAATTAAAACAGAAACTTTGGATGCATCAAACATAAAGTCATTTGTCTGGATTTTTTTATCGTCTCAGTTCTGTAGTTTAGTTTTAAACTCAAATTCACTTGTTTTCCTACCAGTCTCTCAAACTTTGTGACACAAATCGCTCCATGGCTAAAAAATTATTACCTGCATTAAAAAACATCATAAAGTTGGTTACTCACATTACTGCCTGCATACATTTATTGCGTTAGCATGTTCACTTGGCTGAGGCTGCAGTGCATTCGGATCTGCTTTGACAGATTTGAATTACAATCTCTGGACATTAATACTGCTGTATCATGAGAAAAAATATTCTAGAATACTTTATAGGGGATAAAAAGTTACAGCTAGAATTTCAAAGACCTCTACATTACCAAATTGCTGACTCATGCACTTTATATCATTGCTTATTTTTCACAATGGCGTTAAATTCAGAGTGGCTCGCTGAGAAAGAAGCCGTGGGTTTTTTTGTTGCACTTTTCTCTCCTGTTTCTCTTCGTTTGTCGCTTCTCGAACAGCCTCGGCTTTTGTTTTCTCGATTTCCATCTTCCTCTTCTGATTTGTACGGAGTTAGTAGCTGACGTCTGAGCAGGAGTGTGAAATTTATATCACCTATAAAAGCCAAAATCTGAATGGTTATCTACTATTAACCATACAGATTAGTAGTAGTTATGGAGATTTCATGTTTTTTCCTCCATATTAATACTATTCAACATAAACAGTGAAACATTTTTCTTTCCTTAGACTCTCAAGACATCTTTTCTGCAAACCACAGTAAAAATATTTGTAACTTTTATTCATTATTCATTTTTGAGTCTGATTCGTAGTACATCTTTATCCAGAGCTGAAATGCTCATTTGGAACAAACTAACAAACTACTGCACTGCTGCGAAATTAATTTAAAATGAACCAGAATCTGAGCAACTGCTGAATGTTTTATCAGCGACTTCAGAGCAAAATAAGCACTTACTGCTATGTCTGCAGACAGCACAGCTTTAGGCTCAGTAAGAGTTTCAGCTTACATGTCTTTGATCACTGATGTTTGTGGGCTTGTTAGATGAAAACATGCTATGCTGACATTTTTATTCAAGATAAGTCCAAATAGGCTATCAGTAGGGGAGTGTACATTGCAAAAACACAAAATCTTTCCAAGTACCTATGGACATATCATAAGTGAAATAATCTGGTAATAGAACTAATCCTTTTTTAATCAATATTGACTTAAAACCAGCTGAAAAATTGCTTGTAAGTTAGTTTTGCCTTGTTTTAGGTGGTATTTGAACTAAAAACAGAAAATCCTTGGCAGGGTTTGGTGTTTTTGCAGTGTAGTGCATGCAGGCCCCCAGCCCTCCAAAAGACAAACTTTCCATCTTCTGCACTTTTTTCTCTGTCTCTGTTGTTTTCTCATCCTAACCTTCTTCCACTACTTTTATGCTCTCTTTGCATTTTCGCTGCCACTCTGTCGTTATATCTCTCTGTCTTTTGTCCCTTTTATCTCCCCCCTGTTGTTAACACCCTCAGCTGTGCTCAGACCCCTGCATGAGGCTAACGCTCATAGTGGATTGGCTGTAGCTGCGTGCATGAGGAGCACTGGGGGCCCAATCACACGCAGGCAGGAACAGGAAATGGAACGGGACACGGGAAACGCCCACCCACAGGGGCTTAGCAGGTACCACAACTGTCCCTCACCCCCCACACACCTTATGTGTCCGCAGCAGTGCCTGTATAAAAATCCCCCTGTTTCCTCAACTCAAACCGACCTTCTGTGTATCTCAACTCGTTGTTGGGTGTTCTCCATTAGTTCTGGCTGGCCTGTGTTGTTGTGACCCCCACCCAAACGCCTCCAGCTGTTTGTGTGTCTCAATGTGTGTTCTCAAGCAACCATTTGATACTTTACAGAGGAACTTCTTGTCCCCTTTGTGTATTTGTTGCAATGCAGTAAAAAGCTTTGCTGTGTTTTTCCGTTGAGAATGAAAACTGAGTCGGTGTTGCTCTCTGCGTCTCTGTGCTTCACTGCTTCTTCTGCATTGTTGTTTGTGTGTGCTATCAAGGCTTCCCTCTGCTCTTTCAGCGCTGCTGACACGTCCTTCTCTAAACTGTAAAGCCTCAGTCTGTTGCCATGCTTCTGTCCAGCAGCTGCAGTCAAACATCCTGTGCTGTGTGGTTTGTTTTCTTGATCTTCGATGCTCAATGTGTTTCAGTAATTCAGTCTGGTCGTTTCTCATTATGTTAGTATGAGAGGCGAACAAAATGTTATCAAATATACTGTATGTCAGTTGATCATCTATGAAATTAAAAGCTTTCAAAGTAAACATTATATTTGCTCACAGAGTTAAAATAAACATGCAATTAGAAAAAAGTTTGTTTTTTTTGTGCTAAATTACCACAAATATAATTAAAATTAGCATTTTCAGATTCTGAGTTATCCATCCTTTTTTGATCATTTGCATCCAGAGCCCAATTATACTTTTAACATCTTAAAATGTCCCTGATCAATATTTCTTTAGGCTTTCTAAGTTTTTTGGGTAATTTTTAGTCCAGAATCTGATCATATTCCTGTGAATGTTACCTTATTTGTTAGGCCACTGATTCTCTCAGATGTTTATAAATAATTATTTTATCCAACTATATTTAACATATAGTAATAATTCTTTCTGTGAGCTGTCATTAATTTTTTTATAGCAGGAGCAGATCCCAGAATCATCTGTTTACGATTAGCATGGATAAAGATGCAATTATTACTAAAATAGCAGTAAAGTGTAGAAGAATTCAAGCATGTTGTGTAACAAACGCTGGAGCCTATAAAGAACGAAACCAAGTGACTTGCTGTACCTCTTTTATCCTTCCTGTAATCTTCTGAAAGTCTTGCTCTTTCTTGCTCTCTACATAAACCCGGGAAGTCTTGACATCTGACTGAGCCTGAAAATAGATAAACGCTCAGATTTCTTCACTTAGTAGCAGTCTCTGCACTGAAGAGTGTTTTTCACAAGGGAGCCTTATAGATAGAATTAAAACCATCAAAGAAGCTGCCAGAACTAGTGAGTTAGCTACTTCTGAGTCTGCATGCGTCTACAATAAACTTTACCTCTGCCTTCTTTTACATTCACTCGCTTTTTCTGATGCTCGTCGAGCCATGGTGCAGTACTACAAAAATAGTTTCCCTAAGGGTGCTCATGAAAATGTATTAGGCATCTTCCTTTGCTCTGAGCCAAATTAACTTTCTGTAATCACATCGGTGGAAATAAAGCCTGGATGTGCTAACTTGTTAATATTGATTTTAGTCTGCATTTCATTACAGCTCTGTTTAGACCGTAGTGAAACTTTTGGGGGAAAAAAGGGACTCCATCTGTTACCAGTGGAACTGGAGGGAAGGAGTAGGTGGAAGTAAAGCTCTCAGCACTCAGCCTTTTTTATTACCTTCCTCCTCTCCTCTATTGATCAACATAAGCCTCTGATTTATAGCTTGCTGCTGCAGAGCCTTCTTCGTAATTACAAGGGCTTGAAAAGCGACATAAGAGTTAATGTAGGGGATGGGGGCGCTCACGCTCTCGAAGACACATAGGCCATGTGACGCCAAACTAAAATAATCACATTTACGGACTTGCTTCTCACACATACTCAAACGAACTCGATGCAAAGATAAAACCCTTCTCTGCACATTCAACTCTTTCCAAACATTTCCTTGGTCTGTGAGCATATTTCAACCTCACAGTTTTGTGAGCAAATTAGGCATAAAGAGACTCTTAAACTTGTTGATGGGCATTTATTACACATATTCTAATAGCAGACACAGATAAAAATCAATATTGAGCCAAAATCACTGACATTTATATTCTTTATATACCTAATGCTGAAGTAACATCTAGAAAAATGTACCAAAAATCCTTAAATAGACTCAAATGTCCCTTATCAGATTGTCACTTAACTTACAGCTTATCTGCAACCATTTCCTGCAGTAGGTTACTTCAGCTTTCAACGGCTTTTAAATATTATGCTTAAATAAACCAGAATTTAACTCCTTGTTGGCGAAAACAAGGTTCAGCTGGAAATTGATCAAATTAAAACTGCTGTCCCTCAGACTACGGTACTTTAATTCGCTCCATAAATCAATTAAATGCTTAATAAAAGAGTCGATTACTTTGCAGTAAAATTAAAAATATATGTAAATGGCATAAAGCTCATATGAATCCAGTATGTAAAAATGAATGAACAAGAAATGAACCAGTGTGTTTGCACTAGACTGGAGCTCAACTTATTTTCCCATAACTTTCAGTTGAAATACAGTGGCTTCCTTGTCTTTAAATGTAGTACAAGACTCAATAAAATTATTTAAATTTGTATGTTTTAAACAGAAAGCAAACCACATATTTGTTGGTTTTATGGTTTGCAAAAGAAGAGACCAAAATTCACAAAATTCAGGAGTAGTTTCAAGCGGATAGAAAAGAAATAATCTGTTAATCAGATCATCTTGATCAGACCCGGCTTAGACTCAGTGAAAGCAGCATCCGCCACCAGGTTGTCATGACAACACCACTGTTTAGTGGGAAAGAAAAGTCAAATTGTGTTTTTCCACTAACGACGTTTCATCTCCTTTTAATGAAAAATCTGTAGATTGTCAATTGATTAATCTTTTAGTCAACAGAGTAATCAGTAGATTAATCGCTAACTAAAATTCACAATCAGGCAGGAGGACTGGGCAAAAAATGAGCAAAAAAGCAGCCGAAGTCAAGAGAAAACCTTTGAAAAACCTTCATAACTTGTGGGGAAGTATTGATTAACGCCACTGTAAAGGACTACAAGCCTGGAAGTAATGCATGAAGAAATTATAGGTACTTTAGGCAGGGTGTTGAAGATCAAATGCTTCAAACATCAGTGAAAGCAAATCAATAAAGTAATAATTTCTGGTGGTTCAAAGTTCAGAGCAGCAGAAGCTTTGTTAATTATCATGTTGGTGTATGTAGATCTGTACTTTAATAAAGTGGAATCTGCTGTTAGGGTTTCTCTGAACACGCTGATCCATCAGCCTGTGCTTCATAACGGCATGGCTCATTGCGGCAGGCGGCGTCATCACCGTGTGTTTGGTTCTGTAAGTGTGTGTTTGTGCTTGTTTACCCCGCTGTTGTGACCTTCCCTCGATGCAGTAACTCACCTGACGTCAAAGCTGCTCGGTTTTTCCGTTTTCTTTTTTTTCTCCTCCTGCTCTGAGTTGTCTGACTGGAGCCCCTCCCCTCTCTTGTGTGCTCCAGTGAACAGTCTGGCTCGATCCAAGTACTGCTGACACCCAATCAGGAGGAGGAAGAGGATGAGTCGACAAGCAGCAGGGCCGGTCCTCAGGGTCAGAACCCGACCCCGCCTCCTCCGCCTTACCGCCCCGCTCCCCCTAGACCCTCGCTCACCCTCAGCATCAGTCACCCCTGCAGCCCGTCCGTTCAGGGTGAGGAGGAGGAGGAGGAGGGCAGGTGTGCTGGTGAGGAAGGTGAGGATGGGAGTGAGGGGACGGGGGTGAGGCTGTGCGAGTTACTGCAGGCCGGGGGAGTGAGTGTCCGACCCCTGGGGAAGCACTTAGCCATCTCTCTACCCTCACTTCCTCTTCGTCTCTGGGATACACACACCGCAAACGCCTCACACTCCACACACAACCCCCCTCCGCCCCCGTCACACCCTCTGGAAACTTATGGGCAGAGGAAACCCCTCACCCCGCTCTGGCAGCCGCCCCGCCCACATTCCCCCGACGGAGGGTGGCAGCAGCACGCCATCCTCGCCGATGGAAGCACGCGTCACTGGTCCTCCTGGAGCCTGGACCGCCCGGATGCTGTGGTAACACCATACGACACGCCCCCGGACCGGTGCTTTCCCATCAGGCCGCAGAACCCTAGTCAGAGCTGCAGCTACAGTTGTCAGTCTTCTCCAGGGCACTACAGCTCCCAGCATGCCCCAGGGCAGCACAGCGATCTCTGCTGTGACCGTGAAGAGGCTGAGCTGTCCGAGCTGGACTCCCTTTACCAGGCCAGTCTGCAGGCTGGAAGATCAGGTACACACACAAACACGCACACACACACACACACACACACACACACACCTGCAGACACATTGTGGTTTCATACATTTACTCAGAAGTTGGTAGAGAAGCCAAATATTGTACCCAAGTAAAAGTAGCAATACTTCAACATATTTTTACTCAGGTAAAAGTAAAAATGAGCCTCCCAACAAATTTCTCAATGAAGAGTAAAAACTTATTTAGCAGAGTTGGTTTGCAACAAGTTACAATTTTGCTTGAGGAACCTTTTGGAAAAACTGTAGGAATAGTTTTTACTTTGACTTGAGTAATATTATAATGTATTGCTACTTTTACTTGAGTAAAATCTCTGGATACTCTACCCACTGAATAATAAAGAGCAAGTTTAATTTGACCAAGTATTTATCAGACACACACATGCAGATTTGGTAAAGTTTTATAAGTTCTGACCTGAAAAATGTAAAAAATTTGTGGTATGTGTAAAAAAAAAAAAAAAAGTTATATATATATATATATAGATAGATAGATAGATAGATAGATAGATAGATAGATAGATAGATAGATAGATAGATAGATAGATAGATAGATAGATAGATAGATAGATAGATAGATAGATAGATAGATATAGATAGATAGATAGATAGATAGTAGATAGATAGATAGATAGATAGATAGATAGATAGATAGATAGATAGATAGATAGATAGATAGATAGATAGATAGATAGATAGATAGATAGATAGATAGATAGATAGATAGATAGATAGATAGATAGATAGATAGATAGATAGATAGATAGATATTTTACTTCTTATCCACGTAGTCTACAAATATCCAGATGGAATTAGCTCAAGACGTTGCTGATGACTATAAAAAGTGTATGATGTGATGTAACCTGATAATAGATAGTTTATCTAACTATTAGTGACTGCATGCATATGTGAAGCAATGTGCATAAGTTTTAGTAATTAATTTGTTACAATCTGCATTAAATTTGTTGTTTCAAATTTTACTGAAGTTGTGATTTTTCCATCTGATGGGGAAAAAATGACTTCAACATTTGTGATTCATTCATTTGGGCATTTTAATATCCCCAGATGAATATGACAATGATGGCAGCCACTAATGTTTTATTCATGCTTTACCCTCCTTTTTTTTGTAAATAAATGTAAATAAGTGTCGTGACCTACAAAACCTCATGAATCTGAGTCTTGAACAGTATAGCTTTTAACATCTAGTGGTAAACTGTGAGGCTTTTGGACAGACCTCTGTGGATCTCTGCAAATAACAGAGTTGTAATTGTTCCCCTGAAGGGCTCAATCTGTGAGTTGGGTCATGCACAGCATGCTCATCTGTGCACACGAGAAATGTTTCTCCCCACATCAAACTTTACTGTGAAAAACCTCAACCGCATGTTGAGGTTTTTTATTTACTTCCTAGAGACCTTTTCTCTCCAAAAATTCAGAAATTATAATACTAACATTTTGCTGTGACCTTTATCAATGTAAACATGGCTTGAATATCAGTAGAAGAGTTCATGTTGCATGAGTGAAGATTTAATTCGTAAAACCTGGATTTAATTATAGCACCTCGTCAACTTTGTGATGAGGTGTCTTAAAACTTCAGTCTTAAAACTGAAGTTTTAAGACTGAAGTTTAAATTGTGAGGATTTTGGCCTCATTAAAGTCAAAGGTAGGAATTATTAATGGTTTTTGCAGACGACATCTTTATCAACTGACCACTGTAGAAATATCGACCACATATGTTTTTAAGCACTTTGTGTATTCTTTAAAAAAAAGAAAAAAATGTGGATATTTGAGTTATAAAAGGTGAATAAATATATAGGAATGCTGCTTTGTAAATAATATTGACATATTCATGTTGAAACTTTGAAACTAGTTCAGATCTTTTCAGGGTTGCCTTCATTGATTTGATTCACTTCTGCTCTAGAGCTGAACATTTCAGATTTTGTGAACTGGCACTGATTACAGGAACCATCTGATAAATGATATTCTTGTCATAAAATAAATTCCACTGTACATCCGGCCACAACTGATCAGATTTAAAAACAAACAAACAAACAAACAAACAAAACAACAAAACAGTGGCAAAAGCTTCCAGGATTGAAATGTCTGTTCTGTGCTGCCTTGGTCTGAACATTTTTTGCCTACAGTGACTCACTTTGGGCAGTGACTCATATTCGACACTGACAGATGGAGTTCAATTTTTGAACATAATTAGGTTTAAAATGGATGGGCTGTATGCTAAACTCTTCATTTTGGATCGCACTATTTAACTAATCTAACGTTACAGTTTCTTTCTGATAAAGATTAAAGAACTTTTAATGACTTTCTCTTAGCTAAGTGGTTTCATTTTCCCAGTTTCCTAACAGAGCTAGAACAGAAAATAAAAACACAGTGGTAACCATGTAATAATGGCTGGTGGAACAATTTACATTTTCTACAGGAAGTCTTTTTAAGAATGCACAAAATGATAAAGATATCATTTTTGTTCTAAATAAGAATATAAACATTTTATTGCCCAAGGTGAAGCTTAAACTTCTTGTCACTTGAGTATTTTTGGGTGAAACATATTTAATTAGAAAGGAGTTTTCATCCTCAATGCAAAATGTAAATGTATTTCTACAGTTTTGGCTCATGCTCTGAGTATGTTTGTCTTTTCTTTCTACAAATAGCCTTTTTTGAGTCTGTATTCTCCAACTAATGATTAACCGATCACTAAATTAGTCAACGATTATTTCAATAATGAATTTATCACAATTCGTCGTTTCATCTGCATGTTTGCAGGCTGCAGCCCATCTGAGAGGCTGATATCCAGGATGGGAGGGCAGACGCGCTCCAAGACCCCCAACGCCGACATGGAGAGGAGTGTGTACGGGGCGGACAGCACCAGCACCCCCACCTACCTCAACAAGGCAACACCTGCTTAATGATTTTTTTTTTTTTTATTGTGCAGAATCTTGTCACGTGTTCACGGGTCATCAGTCAGAGACGATAAGGGATGTTTTGTCTCCCTCTCCTTCTTTGCAGCCAGTGATGTTGCGGGATCCACGTTTTGGGGCGGAGCCAGATGATGGGGAGAACCAGAGGCGAATCGGACGCAGCCTGAGCGGCACGGTAGTGACCTCCCGCCGCAGCCGCCTCACTACAACCCGCAGCTTTGTGAGTTGGGTTTCCAGTGCTCTGCTGCCTCCTTGTGGCCTTGTTCTTAACTGCACCTGCCTGATGTCCCGTGGTCACGTTTCACGCATTGCTTGTCCCTGTGCTTTTCTCCCCCCTTCACTGTCTGTCTCATTTCTTCCTGTTCTCCTGTTTCCAATCTGCCCCCCTGCTCTCTGCGTCTCCTCTGTCTCTCTCTAAGGTGAAGCAGGCTGATGTCAGTGCCTCTCCTTGCTTACTTCCTCTCTTCTGAGTCCCTGTTGCTATTCCACTACCATCACTTCCTCCATCCTCATAACCAACACCTCTTCATCACCACTTCCCTTCACTGCTTCACAGGTAAACTCTGCTTCTTTAGAGCAGCTTACTGCTCATGTTTTGGCTCTGCTGCTTTGTGTGCCACATAAATTGGAAGTGAGTGACCTAAATGAATCATGTGAGAATAACCAAATAAGGGCCATTTGTTAGATCTCAGATTGAATTTGTTTCATGGCTTTGGGCATTCTAGACTAATCCAGGACTAAAGCAGCATAGTTTTAATTTGCACGTATCATTTATCATGGGAGTGTTCTCTAATTTTCTTCGACTGTCAGGTGCTAAAGATTATTTTTGGTCTTTGGTCTTTTTTTTTATGTTCAACAAAACAAATATTATTTATTGTAAGAATAGGAAGACAAAATCTACAAATACACTGTGTTTGTAAACCCAGAAACAATAAAACATCTGTATAAATGTAAATATTGTTGAATATTTCAACAACTCAAAAAGTGAACTTCTTGTAATGCACACACAGTGATGGTTTACAAGTGGTTAAGATTTGTATGGTTTTGAGCTGAGAACACCTAACATTACTACATAAGACCAAAGGAAACATGGATTTTAAGACAGAAATCTTTTGTTATACTCTTCACACTCATGAGGAAAGCTGCTGACACCATACTGTCTTTGTCTCCATCCATAACAAAGGTAGCTCACAAAAGGTCAGAGCTAAAAACAAAACTAGCTCTTCATAGAGTGCAAGGTTTCCCCCAGAAAACTTGCTAACCCCATTGGCTGGGGGCTACGGCAATCATTCATCCTCTTGTTTTTGAGTTAAAAAATGATTAGTTGACAGGAAATTTTAAAATACCGCTTGATAATTATGTGTTACTGGAAGATTTGAAGATTAATACCCAAACACTAACAATAAAGTCTTTAAAAATGCAAACATTTTAAAAAGACTTAAATAAATAAGCAATGCTAAGCCTGGTGGGAGCACAAGTAAAGCCTGGTGGCCCGCCAGGCTTATAATACACTGGGGGAAACCCTGGAGAGCTGTGTTCAAACTTATTGATGAAAAATTGTGCGGGGAGGAAAAACTGTTAGGAAAATAACAAAATAAGCAACGCACACATTTGTATGTGTGTGTGTGTGTGTTTAACCAGGAACACACACACACATAACAAAAAGTAAGAACACTTCAACGTGACCAGAAACTTTCACATATAACTGTTTGAAACTCCGCAAGCCAAATTAAAATCGAAGCAGGACAGAAGAGATGAGTAAAACATAAAAATTAAACTAGTGTGAACCACATGTTGAAATAAAGATATGAATAAAATCCATTTGAAGAACCTCTGAGAGCATCAATGTCACTTCAGTTTATTCATTTCAACAACCGCAGTAAGAGCTGTTTTCAGCTTTACATCATGTTATAATGTTATTCCTTCATCAAAGACAAACCTGAAGTGTTGCTTTCTTTCTTTCGTGTGTGCTTGAGAAATCCTTTAGTCTCCCTGGTTGGACCTAGCTCCGCCTCCAAGGCGCGGCTCCTCCTCCAAGCTTCTGCTTTACAGAGCAGGCCTCCCCCGCTCAGCTCCTTCAGTAAACTCCACATCTGCTGAGCTCATAATACCAAGCTTCCCAGTGAAGTCCTAGTAAAACATTGTTAAAGGGTTAATAGAGGAGCAATATTGTAATAACTTCCTAAAGGTGTAATTTCCCAAAAAGCAGGAGTTTTTAAAGAGACAGATGCCCAATTTCAAGACGTTAAATTACGAAGTGCAATGTCTTTTAAGCCTGATTGATATGTGTAGCATTTTTACAACTGAAGGTTGTTAGAAGTTGATTGTGCTATAAAGTATGTGGCTGGAAAACACATAATACTGACCATTTAGGATGTCCTACATTTAGGGACTAAAAATGTCTGACTGAAGGGAAGAAGCTGAAAATAATCTTTTAAGACAGAGGAGACTATCTGCTGAACCTGGCTAATATGAAGAGGTGCAACTGATTGTTGGGTTTCTCCAATCTGCTGAAGGGGTCTTTTAAAGATCCAACAGTACAAAATGTTTCCATTTTTGAGTTAGTACCATTTTGATCCAGCAGTGTTCTTCTCCAAGGTATCGTTTTTTTCCCTAACCTGTAGTTCTTCCTTTCCCTCCCTGTCCAGGAGCTGTCGGGCAGCGCTGGAAGTTTCTGGCTGTGTCTGACGGGGGTCAAGCTGTCCTCGGACCAGAGCCCCACCCTGCTTCACTGATATCCGGCCCCCCGCCCCCTTCCTCTGAAACCTCCCCACGACGCAGCGGTGTCGAGGTCGCAGGCGGCGTCGCCTCGACTGACCTAGGATCGGCTCAGGACCATCGTCTCGACAGCCGTCCTGCTCCAGCACCTTCTCCTAAGAAACAAACACATGCACGCACACATCTGCACTGAGGTTGAGCCTCCCTCCGCGCCTGAAGCTCCCCACTTTACTTGCCTTCCCTCCCTACTTACTCTGTCTATGCAGTCACTCTGACCCCTTAAACTACAACCTCCCTTTCTTTCCCGGGACTGTTTCTCGTCTCCCTGCGGGGTTTTTTTAGGAGGATTCCAGGTGTCCGACTCGGACGAACTCGTCCTCCACCCCAACAGGACCTTTCAGCTCAATGGGAGACTCTAACCAAGTAGCCACGCCTCTTCCTCTTTCTTCATGGGCATTTTCCCGTCGGACGCACATGTATCTGAACTGCCATATTTTTGCTCTCGTTTTCTTGCTGGGTTTCCTTGAGGTTTTTGTTTTCCTTCCTGAGACTGAACTCTGATAACTAAACCTGTACAGAAAAACACATGTATGAAACCTGTATGTTAATTAATAAGACCTTATGGAATGTTGATAATTAACAAATATTGCTAAACTAAAAGTGGTACTTCCTCATGTCTGCATTTCAAATAGCAGTGGAGTGCACTTCACAAGTGTGTAGATGGAGTTTCCGCCCCTAAAATACTCCCAAAACTCGCCCCCTTTTCCCTCACCCCAAAAGAAACTGCTCGCTGACTTAATGACGGCTTTCCCGCTTCTACTGGGAGATTTAACGAGAAAAGCGCTTCCTGTTACTTTGGTCTTTGCTTTCTTTTGCTTTTCTTTGTTCTGAAAGGGAAGCAGTAGCACCACAACCGAGGAGTCAAGAAAGGAAGACGAGAGAGAAAGAGAGGAATGTAGGTTAGAAAACCTGCCTCTTACAGGCTTTTTATCAATGAACATGGATGATTCAAGTGCACTTTGCAGGGAAGAAGGGCACTTTTAATCGAAGGCTGATGGGGAGAGAGCGAGAGAAAGAGAAGTCCTTTTGGTTTTGTTTTACTTCAAGGCCTCAGGTGAACTTCAGTGGCACTTATAAATTCCCACTTTTATGATTTCTGACGCTGGTTTCGAGACCCAGATGGGAGCAAAAACGGCACATCTTCAGCCTGATACAGTTAACGTGTCTGATAGAGTATGCTTTATATAATAAATATGTATTAGAGGTATATTTTCAGCCAGTGAGCTATCTTCTTCAGAGATGTCAACCATTACTCTGTGGTGTTGAACATTTAAATCCTTCCCCTCACAAATGAGTAGCATTCTGACATATCTAGTCAGTTTATTGTATGCTTTATTATATATATATATATATATATATATATATATATATATATATATATATATATATATATATATATATATATATATATATATATATATATATATATATATATATATATATATATATATATATATAAACTGGCCAATGTAAAGTTTTGCAAGAATTTCCTGACATTGATTGATCGTTGTAACAAAAACCAAAGGTTGGCACTTAGCTTGTTGTTTTTCATTGTTCATTTAGGTTGTTGTTGTTGATTGTTATTTTTATTTGGGTTGTGGATGTGGGAGAATGTAGCCAATTGTAGCGCATGAGTCCGCTATGCAAATCAACTTTCCCTCACAGTCCTGTCAGAGACAGCCAGGAAGTAGACCCACCCGCCCACAAGGGGGCGCTCACACGGACAAAGACGACGATTAGGAGGTGTTTTAATGCTGCTGGTGGTCTTTGCTGGTCCGCGTCTACATGCTGACGTGTAGACAGAGGCGATGAAAGCGAATGAATGTAAACTGGAATGTGTGTTTATGAGTGACGGCTGGAGGCAGAAGAAGAGTGGGCAGCCGCTGGAGGCGGGTTTTTACGTGGGTATGTGTAGACTGAGCGTGTGTCAGTGTTGGGGAAAGAGGGATCCTGTATTTTTGCAATAAAGTTATTACCAGTGCCCTCCCGCAGGGGGCGGAACCACCGTAACGTGTCATCTTTATTTAAAGGATGTTGGGGAAACAATTATAGTTAATCAATTCATCAGATAAAGAAATACAAATCACATTCAGTTGTGTTAATCACCTCAGCCTTTTTATATACATTATTAGAAATCCATTAAACAGGAATGTTGAGCTCATTTTGATTTGGGTCATGTCAAGATCATGAATGTCCTCAAACTGCTGGAGGTGGAAGAATGTATTGATACCACTACCCAATAATAAAGTGATAGAATATCAATGCATTCAATGTGGACTTCTGTAAATTAAATAATGTTGAAAATCTTTACACATTGATTCAATTTGGCAGTATACAGATAAAAATTGCTTTGATTTCAACAATAAAATATTCAAGTGCACAACTATCAGTGTTATTTATGTGTCTAGAGGGCCATATGATGGGCCGGATTTGGCCCCTGGACCTTGAGTTTGACAATGGCATTTAAAGATGCAGATAAGGAAGTGATTTGATTCCTTTTCTAAATATGTTTTCCAGATGTGAGTTGGCTTGAATTAATACGATTTAACTGAAAACTCAGGCAGTGACCCCTTGTGGACTTTGGTTGTTCAGACACTTAAAACCAACAATCCCAGTTTCTGCATATTCCAACTAGTGCTCAAAGTTATAAGTAATGATACCTCATTTCACTAACTTCCATACTATGGACCTACATGTATTTATGTGCTATATTTAAGTTAATCACTTGTGCTGTGTTCAGGTTGCCTCCGAAGTCAGAGTTTCAAACTGGGAATGTTTTCTGCTTACAAACAGAAAACAGCCGAATTTATTTACAACAATGCAAACCGATTGTAATTCTGTTTTTTTATATTTTCAATTGCAGGTGTCAATCCAGAAAAACTGAATGCTCAAAATGAATGCTTTTAAAATGTGCACTCTTTAGTTTCTCATGCTTGAATTGGACAGGATAAATCAATCAATCAATCAAATTCTATTTGTATAGCACATTTCAGCAGCCAGGCATTTCAAAGTGCTTTACATCATAAACACAAGAACACAAAGTCATGCATCATGAAATAAACAATACATTGTTACATATTACATTTCAAATATAATTCTAAACAGGTGTGTTTTTAGTTGAGATTTAAAGGAAGTCAGGGTTTCCACTGTTTTACAGTTTTCTAGAAGTTTGTTCCAAATTTTTGGTGCATAGATGCTGAAAGCTGCTTCTCCTCGCTTGGTTCTGGTTCTGGGGATGCAGAGCGGACCAGAACCAGAAGACCTGAGAGTCTGGAAGGTTGATCCAACAACAGCAGATCTTTGATGTATTGTGGTGCTAAACCGTTCAGTGATTCACAAATGTTACAATGTGAATGATTTGAATTGAATATTGAATGATTTATTCTGGTCTCATTCCAAAAAGTGAAATAACTAAAAACGAATGAACATTTCAATTACATTTTAAGCTATCAAATTGAAAACAAAACGTAGTTTGCTTTCAAGGAACGCGACAGAAAAAGAAAGCAAAAATATCAGACATTTTCTTATCGAGTCTAATAATCCTAACAGAAAACAGCAATAAATGAATACACCCTGGTGTTTGTCAGAAGGAGGATTTAGAAAAATCCAAAGAGATTTGTCAAGATCGATTATCCTGTTACGAGGTCAACAGAAAATCATAAAAACAAGCCAGTCAGGCATGAGGAAACCATGGAAACTCCTCACTGAACTGAGATCTTAACGGGACACAGCTGCACTTTGAGGCGACAAAAAAAACCTCAGTAGTGAAGAGGAACTGCAGGCGTTTCTAGGTGTGAAATTAACTCTTAATTTGATGAATTTCAGTTCAAGATTGTGGGTGTTTTCAGCATGCTTGTATTGATTATTTTCACTTATTGGGAATTCTCTAAAAAGAAAAAGAAAATCTTTTGTACAAATCAAATGACTTGCAGAAAAACTTTATTTTCTTACCTCCATCACTTCCAGCTGTAACAAGCTGCAGCTCGTTCTGACAAAAGAAGCTCCAGCAACAACAGACAGTACAGAAAAAGTATGGAACCAGTAAGACATGGATGCACAATGAAAACAATCCAGTGCCAGATTGGGAAATGGACAAATGGATTGAGTGTTTCCCCCAGTCTGTCTCTAAAGACTGAAGCATGTTTCATGCATATTTCGTGGAGTTTGCAGGAGTAACATGGTTAAAAATGTTCCACCAGATTTAAATGAATGCATCGTGTAATAGAAAATGTCATTTTTAGCTTTAGTTCAGATGGAACTAAAGCTGAATGTCTGACCTGGCAATTGTCTTAAAGGTCTGACATGTGGAATGTAGTTTGTACCCTTGCTTGACCCTCCATCCATAAGTAACTGACAAAGAAGAATTGGAAGTTTCTCCATAAAATCGACCCCTCGAAGAGGTGAGGAATAGTTCATGAGGTTTGTTTTGTGGTACATCTGGCAGTAGAGATAAGATCGGACTTTGGGTGGGTCTTTTTCTTGCAGTGACTACATAACTATGTGTTGTTCAGGGCTCTTCTCCTGACTGCGCTTGGCGAGACGACCCGTCTCCGAACGCTTTTGCCCTCAAATAAAGACAAAGATTAATCTTTCTCTTATTATTGAAACAGATTCTCATTCCTTGATAAAATATTCTATAACAATCGATTCTGCAGAACCTGCTGGGGATCTATTTGTTGGAAGCGGGTGACCTGAACCTACGGCCCAATCACTCCTGAGGAACGGGTAAGGGAACCACTGCTCTATATAACTTACTATTTTAAAGACTGCACATATTATTTTCCAAAGTTTATACAGTACTTTCCCAGAACCGAGAAGGTATTTTCTGAAATGTACAGGTCTTTCTTTGAAATTATGCGACATCTTGGAAAATGTAAGATTTACTTTTTTTCTGCTACTCTGAGTACTTTCTGAAAAGCTTTTTTTCATTGATCATTGCTCCTATGCTCCTATTGAGACACATGTTTTGATACCATTTTTGTGGTGGGCACACAGCTAACAGTGGGGAAGAAAACTGAATGAATAAAGAGACATTGTATTAGGTGTAGAACAATAGGCCTATAGCGATGCATGGAGCTCTCCCTATGCTTTGCTATGGAAGGCCACAATAACATAAAATCAGTCAAATTTCTCAATCTTCTGTAACTCGGGGTAATTTTTATTCCTCATAACCAAGCAAACTACTTTTGATTTCCTGAATGTACTGATATTAGGACAGAACTTATAAGATACTCTTTTACAATTTACTTACATTTCAGAAAGTCATATCATTTTCCTGACATTTTGAAGACACTTTCTGAAACTTACAGGTATTTTCATTGTACTTTCTGAAACTCTAGAAAGCACTTTGAATGGGGTGTTTTTGATTAATTTAAATTTTATTTTCCAGGAACTTATGTAGTACATCCTTGTGCTTTTTGTGAATATTTTTTTTAAATGAGATAAAAAAAATTCAGAAATATATGTTTAAATTTAAAATTTGTCAAAAAAATTTTTTTTTCCCAATTTGTAAATTTTCAAATAATTTTTTTTTCATTTACCACTAGATGTCAGCAGTGACAAACTGGCATGTGAATCATGCAGTGCAGTGAATATCTCTGGCTTTAATTCGCAGAGCCATCAAACACATTGGCTGTTCCCAAACATATTCTCAGAAACACATGGTGAGGCTTTGCAGAAACCCAGACAGCCTTTTGTTGTCTCTCTTTGTTGTCTAAGTTGAAGAGACAATCAAAAGTTTGTAGAGCTTTTGTCAAGACAGCTGAAGTCAGACATCCTGTGGAGCAGAGAAGAAATAGAAAAGGATCAATAACCATTAACTTTCACATACACACACCTCTCTCTGTCTCTGGTGCACGGGGAGCACGTTTGATGCTTCTCTTATGTGCATGTAGGTGTGACTGTGTGTGTTTCGGCTGTCCAGGTGGCCCGAAATGGCTTTTTTTGATGTCCAGTTCACTCATTTAAATTGCCCCTAAACTGGTCCAGCTGCAGTAACGTGCCTCTTGTTAAAATGTGTGGGGTACACCCATCCTGCGAGAGCGCTGGCGGCAGATTGCAGGAGATTCCTGCAGAATGACTGAAGGCCTTAAATAGGACGGCGCTGCAGAATTTATTATGGAGATTCACAGAGTGTGTGTGCAACATGCAGAAGATTTCTGCAGTAATATAGCTGACCAGTTAATGAACGCGGCATTTTAAACGTGCATGGAGGTTAAAGAAGATGGAAACACTCACTGATTGAATGAGATGCTGTGTTTCTCTAATTAAAATCCCAATAATAGAATTATTCCCTATCTCTCATTGCTCAGAGAAACCTTTTT